GGCGAGGCGCTCAAGGCCCCTCACCAGTCGTGTGAGGAGGCACACGGGGCGGCGCCCCTTGCCACTATGCCGGGGGGCGTAGGTGGGAGCACCGAGGGTGCGTGGCTGGTAGCTAGCATGGGGTATGGGCTGAAGGCCTTAGAAATCCCTAGCCATAAGGGCGGATATGGGGGTAGTACATGCTATGTACCCATGTGTGGAGTAAAGTAATGAATTTCTCTTGTTTTAATTCAAAAAAAAAAAAAAAAAAAAAAAGAGTGAGAAAGAAGGCAAGTGGAACCAAGGCAGCCACCTTGCAGCACGAGCAGCCCCCTGACTAGAAGGGAAGAGTAAGGAGGAAAGAGGCAGAAACTGAGATAGGAAAGAACACGTGAGAATAAGGGGCAGAGATTGAGAAGAAGAGCAAACGGGAGAAAGCGGAAGAGAGAGGGAGAGAGAGCGAGAGAAAGAGAAGGAGAGGGAGATCGAGGGAGAGGGAGAGAGAGGTAGAGAGAGAGAGAGAGAGAGAGAGAGAGAGAGGGAGAGAGAGAGAGGGAGAGAGGGTGAGAACGAGGGAGAGAAGGAGGGCGACGGAAGGAGGCCTCACGAACCAAGAGGCTCGGGAATTCAAAAAAAAAAAAAAAAAAAGACCCTCACCCGCCCAAGAGGCCCGCATAAGGATGCGAGGCAGCCCGTTAGAGACTTCAAAAGAGAGAGAGAGAGAGAGAGAGAGAGAGAGAGAGAGAGAGAGAGAGAGAGAGAGAGAGAGAGAGAGAGGGGGGGGGGAGAGAGAGAGAGAGAGAGAGAGAGAGAGAGAGAGAGAGAGAGAGCGAGAGAGAGAGAGGGAGAGATAGAGAGAGAGAGAGCAAGAGAGAGAAAGAGAGAGAGAGAGAGAGAGAGAGAGAGAGAAAGAGAGAGAGAGAGAGAGAGAGAGAGAGAGAGAGAGAGAGAGAGAGAGAGAGAGAGAGAGAGAGAAAGAGATGGGAGAATGTGGAAAGGAGAAGGACTGGAGGAAGGATGGTACACGGAGATCTTGAAGGCATAGCACCGAGTATGTATAAGCCCCCGGGCTGGCCTTATGACCAAAGGCTAATCACCCAATACACCACACCCGGTTGCCCCCACGTGCAGTGGCGGACGACAAGTGGCGAGCGGCGGAATGGGACCCATACGAGAACGCGGTCACAGACGACACGGTGAAGGTCATGCGCAACCGACTGCGTAACCAACTGCACTGGTGGATATCGTGGTGCGACAGCAGTTTTATTATCTCGATCATTGCCAGGGGATATTGGCTGCCTTGGAAAACTACAGAACCGCCACCCTTCGAAACAACAAACCACGCGGGTGTTCACGCACACACCACGTTCACTCGAGAGGCCATTCGCGACTTAATTACGTCGGGCGCGGCCACAAAGGTATCCTCGCGGACTGCGCTCTCGTGCGTAAGCCCACTCAACGTGGTGGAACAACGCGACAAATGTCGCCTCATCCTCGACCTACGCAAGGTCAACCAACACCTCCAAGTCCCCAAATTCAAATACGAGGGCCTGAATCGGGTTTCGAAGATCATTCGACGCAACGACTGGTTGTTCACCATTGACCTAAAGTCCGGCTACCACCATGTTGAGATGCACCCATCATGCTGGAAGTTCCTAGGCTTCCAATTCGAAGGCGAGTTTGCTTCCGAGCTTTGCCGTTTGGACTGGCGACATCACCTTTCGTCTTCACCCAGTTGATCAAGCAATTGGCCAAACGTTGGCGTACATGTGGCGTCCGCGTAGTCCCATATGTTGACGACTTGCTATTCCTCTGTGACTCTGCGGAGCAAGCACGCAAGACATGCACAGAGGTTCTACGCGACCTGGGGGCGGCAGGTTTTGTGATCAACGAGAAAAAATCGCGCCTCCAGCCGGCCCATCAAACACAGTTTTTGGGGGTGGAGCTTGACACGGAAAGCGGCATGTTTAGCATCGGATCCGATCGGCGGGCACAGTTCCTGGACACGCTCAACACACTCATCTCTAAAGGGCAACGCGGCCAACAAGTCCCAATTCGGCAAGTCGCTCGTATCACCGGAATGTTGAGCTCCATGTCCCTCGCATTGGGCACGACGGCACGCGCCTTCAGCCACGAGCTGCTACAATTAATTGATGCAGCGGAATCTTGGCACTCAAGAATCTGGATGCCACGGGCCGCCATTGAGGAGCTGGTCTTCTGGCAACTGCACTTCGACCAATTTAATGGTGCCCCATTTCACCTGAGCCATCAATTCGATGCCGTGATCCACGTCGACGCGAGTGCTCACAGCTGGGGCGCCACCCTCACCAAGTTTACCGACGCGTCGTATGAGGCAAGCGCCAGCATGCCGAGCGAGCTCCTCCCAACCTCAAGCACTCAAAGGGAGCTCGAGGGAGTCCTCTGGGCGCTAGAGACGTTCGCGTCTCACATCAAAAGCGGCCACGTTTTGGTTCGCGTGGACAACCAAGGAGTCGTATTTATCTTGCGCAAAGGGGGGTCCAGCCAACCTCGGCTGACATTGACATGTCAAGCAGTCATACAGTTCTGCCTCAAGAACCATACACGCCTGGCAATCGAATGGATCCCACGGGAGCTAAATGCCCACGCGGACGAACTGTCTAAAATCCAAGACCACGACGACTACTCGCTGCACATGCCATGGTTCCTCCTACTGGAACGCCGATGGGGTCCCCACACGATTGACCTCTTCACGAACATTACCAACAAGAAGCTGCCACGATTTTGCTCCAAGATACCGCACCCAAGCGCCACAGCAATTGACGCGTTCTCGATCTCGTGGAAAGGCGAGCGTTGCTTCACCTTTCCGCCCCCCGGCTTGATCCCGGCCACACTCTCTCACGCCAGGCACACACAAGCCGAGTTGACACTCGTCGTCCCCAAGTGGCCGGGAGCAGCATGGTGGCCGTTGCTACAACCCTCCCCACAGAAATGGGCCCCAGAAGTGATCGCATGCTTGCCCCTCGCGCAAGGAAGCCAGTGCCTTCGACCTGGCACGCACGCAACAGCATTTTCCGGACTCGGCCTACCGCATAGCCCAATCATTGCCCTGCATGTAAAATATCATATGTAACTAATATTCGAATGGTAATTCTTTCAGGATTGTTGACCAAGCTTCAAAACCAACTGTTACAAGTTATAAATGATGTTCGCGCACCATCCACGATCGAGACATATCAACCTTACTGGCTCAAATTTCGCAACTTCTGCACTCGAGTCAGGTTAGCATTCCTGCCAGCGACGGACCTCACGCTGGCACTCTACCTAGTCCACGCGCTGAACACCAAGGCAACGGTGTCAGCAATCAACCTCACGTGCTCCGCCGTGGCCTTCGCCCATCGGATGACCGGCGAGGCATCCCCAACGAACGGCCCGTTCACGCTGCAAGTACGGGAGTTTGCTAAGCGACATGGCCTACGCCCGACTAGGACCAAGGAACCCGTGTCACTCCATCAAGTGCACAACATGGCACGACCCTTCCTAGAATCAACAGTGCCGGCGGAATATCAGAAAGGCTTGATACCTCTCTTGATGTTCGCAGCATTCCTGCGCTACTCCGACCTGATCTCCCTCCAATGGAACGACATCCAGTTCGAAGGGGCGGCCATGTGGCTACTGATCCCATACTCTAAGACGGACCAAGAAGGCAAGGGCACGTGGATCCCGGTCGCAGCGTCAGCAGGGCCCTACTGCGCAGTGAGATGCACACGGGAGTTCATTCGCATCGCAGGCCTTTCAAACATGCCACACGGACCTCTGATCCGGGTTTTCAACAAAAGGGCACAAGCCTCGCCGCACGACAAATCGCCTTCATATCCAACCATCCGGAGCTGGTGCCTCGAGGCTTGCAGGAAGGCGGGACTCGACGCCACGCACATCGGAACACACTCATTCCGCAAGGGCGCAGCAACAGCAGCAGCAGCTTTAGGCATCCCCGACCGGCTCTTCAAACGAATGGGGCGCTGGCGAAGCGACGGCGCGAAGGACCTATACGTCACCATTGCCCAAGACCAACTCATCGACCTCTCCACCCAGCTGCAGGACACCTCAGCAGCCCCATCGCCTGCTAGGCACCAGCAATCGTTGGAGAGGCACCGCCGACCCAAAATGCACTTGCCTCAGAAGACCCACTTGGAATGAAGCACGCTGCCTTTGCAAGATGGACTAAGCAAGCTTTCACAATATTATAATTTGTAAAAGTGTAACACTTTTTCAAATTTCGTATTGTGAAAGCGAGGGTGTGGCCAGCAAAGCTAAGGTAGCGGCTCGACGCTACTCACCCCTCTTTTGCCTACAAAAGAGGAACGTGATTCCAGTAGCTCCACCCACGTTCTTCATTTCCATTTTCTAGTTTTACTTTCCCACCACCCACCCCATTGTGTATCATTGATGAACGAGAACGTTGTACTTGCCCACTTGGAATGAAGCACGCTGCCTTTGCAAGATGGACTAAGCAAGCTTTCACAATGATAACATTTGTGGTATGGAGATAGCACGCAAGCTTCTCCGAGTCACATTTTGAACTAGAAGAGAATGGCTATAGTGGAAGGAGGACTTTAATGCCCATAATAATGATTCCATATGACAAAGCAACTTGAAGCATTGAGAATAATCAAAGCGCAGTGCTATCTGTACACACACGTTCCTTTTGCCGAATCTAAGAACCACAGCCCACGTTCTTGCAACCGTCTGCATTTCTCCGCCTTATCTGCTGTTGCAAGGCACAAAGGAATGAACACACACGACAAGAGAATAAGGGCTCGAGACGCGCTGGTGGAATCTTGGTACCGTATGAGTAAGAGGGAGTATGAATGAAAGCAGGTGAGAAACATGTGACTGAATGACTAGGAGGGAACATGTGTGAGCAGTCAGGACCATTGCCCATACATCATCCATACCATACCCTCTCTCCCCCCCCACACCGCCCTCCTTCTCTCACACGCCAGATCAATCCCCAGAAGAAATAGTTGCATTGCATGTACTCAAAGCACATCCACCCACGCAGCAACTGGACAGGCGCAGAAGCAGACACACTATTACAGTCACAACCAAATCCCCGAATGGACACAAAAGAAAAACCAGTCAAAGCCAAATCAGGGAGCAGCACTGACCTAGCTTGTGGTCGCTGGGGAGCACGCGGCACCCGATGCGCCCACACGCCCTTCTCACGTTCTCCGCATCCCATAGGCCAAACATTGCTGCTGTAGGGAAATGGCGGCGGTTCAACAGCCGAGTCTTCACCCCTGACGGCGACCGACAGGCGTCTGAGCCCAACTGTGGAAGAGGAGATGAGGCCAAGAGGGTCAAGGGGGGGTGGTGAGAATCATATGTGTTGTAGTGGATTGCATGCAGACTGAGTTGAATTGAAAGGCAACTCAAAAGCAGGTGCGAAAGGGGGCGGCAGCATATTGAACGGGAGGAGAAGAGGGAATGATGCACTGGGGATGATTGGCGAGCATGGATAGCTGTAAGCAGTGGCGGAGGCTGCAAGAAGTGAACAAGCAAGCATTAGCAAGAGAGAAAGTGAATGGAGAGAAAGATGTGCAGGAGTAGGAATAGCATGGGCTAACGTGCTGTGGTAACTCACCAGCAGTTGCCCGTTCTCCCCACACAGCACACGGAAGAAGCTCAGATGCTCCGCCATCCGGCTCCCCCCCGCATGCGCCACCACCGCCGCCAGCGCCGCAGCAGACTTCTCCTCTCCCCTCACAAAGAAAAACCCCGTGCTCATGGTACTCGTCCCCTCCACGCTATTCGCCGGCTGCTCTACATCAGTCACGCTGCTCTGAATGGCCACGGCATTGGGACCAAACGCTAGGAGGTCCGGGAGCGGGTTGTGGAACCACACGGTGTCGACCAGAGTGGACGCTACGTGGTAGCCCAGGCGAACTATGGCTAGTGCTGCTCGTGAGCGCACGTGCATGGAGTGGCGGCGGCGGCAGGTGAGGGAGGTGCAGTGGGCGGGGGAGAGGGAGGCGGAGGACGAGGAGGAGAGTGGGGTGTCAAGGGATGGGAGGTGGAAGACTGGGAGGGAGTGGAGGTAGGCGAAGGAGAGGATGGGGAGGTCGGTTGCTGCGATGAGGAAATTGGAGATGTTGAGATGCCGCAGCCTGGGGATATTGGACAGGGATGTGGGTGTGGGGGAGGAAAGGTGGGGCGGGATGAGGAAGGGGAGAGGAGACGCAAAGATAATTGATTTGATGGTTCTGGCGTTTATGCATGGTGGTGAGGATAGGACCAAGAGAGAATGGGAAAAGAGGTTGGGGAGAGCAAGTGCTTTGGAAGAGAGGCACAGAGAAAGGTTCAGAGGTTCAAATCAAAGGTGGTGGAGGAGGGATTAGTGGACTCCAACATGCCATTGAAGATGATGCATGACGAGAATGGCCATTCCCATGCCCATCCACCCATCCACCCATCCACCCATCCACCCATCCACCCATCCACCCATCCACCCATACCCACATACGCCCACACGTCCAAATTCCTATGACCATGTCCACGCCCACACCCGTACCCATGGCCATGCCCATGATGAGACGCCCATGCCCTCGCCCATTCCTACACGCCCATGCCATGCCGTGACTCACATGCACACGAAGCTGAGCAGCATGTCCTGGTCCCCATGCCCGTGCTCATGCCCATGCCCGTGCACATGCTCCTACCCGTGCACATGCTCCTGCCCATGGCATGCCCATTCCCAAGCCCACGACTCACATGCACACGAAGCTGAGCAACATGTCCTGGTCCCCATCGGACACAGCCACCAGCACCACCACCCCATGCCTGTCCGCCACCACAGGTAGCAGCACCTGCAGCGAATGCCCTTCCCTCACCACCACCGGCCCTTCACCCTCTCCCTCCGCCTCTCCTGCTCTTCGTCCTACAGAAGCAGCAGAAGCAGCTGCAGCGGCTGTGCTCTGGCCTCCAAACCCAGTGGAAGGCGAGTCAGTGGGAGTGGGACTGGAAAGATTGGCTGATGCAGCACGGGGAGACTGGGAGTGCAGGGCGAGGGCAGCCGGCACGCTGCAGGTGAAGTAGAGTGGGTCTTGGGGGGCGGGAATGCTGTCCGATGCTGTGTGGCCGTGGTAGGGGGCGAGCTCGCAGGGGCAGGAGGAGGCTCGCACGCGGGGGAGCAGGCACACAGATGTAGACGCTGTTGGGGGGGATGTTGGGGGAGGGATTTGAAGGGCGGGAAGGGAGGGGGAAAGGGAGGGGGGAAGGGGGGGATGATGAGTGGTGAGGGGGGGCCGACGGGTGAGGAAAGGTCGAGGTGGGTGGGGAAGAGGGGAGGTGAAGTAGGGAGGCGAGGAGGGGTTTGCCATGGCGGATATTGGAGAAAAATGATGTGTTGGAGGGAAGAGGACAGGAAGGGAGATGCGAGGAGGGATGACAGGACAGGGGAGCAAGGAAGTTGGAGAAAACAATCAGAAGTACATCGTCAGCTCGGCTGGGCTTATGTGGCTAGGATGCATGTGTGTGTGCATGCATGGACGGGCAAAGGCAGGCGAGGGCGCGTGCATGTCATTAGGTGTGGCAAGCTTTGTGGGTTAGCAGGACCATCCGTGTGCTAACGAAGTGGGCAAACATGGTTATGAGCATGCTCGTTCATGTACACGCAAGTGCACATGCACATAAACGTGCGCACATGCACCTTCAGATTGTACAAGAGGTTAGTACTCAGTCATGCCACCCACTCATGCCACTCACTCATGCCACTCACTCATGGTATCATGGCATGGCATGGCAGCCCAAGGCAGGTCCATGGTAGAAGGAACCGACACCGAGAACTGAGGAACCTCCTTTTTGCCGCCTGTTGTCTTGCCACCCACACCTCCATTGCTGCTGCTGCTGCTGCCAGTGTGCACTCCCATAATTCCCTCATCCAGCATCCGCCTCTGCTGCTCCGCACCCTGCTCCTCCAGCCGGTTGTTCACCTCACAGTGCCACGCACTTCCTCCTCCCCCCGCCCACACACGCTTTCCCCCATCCCCTTCCGCCTCCGCCCCCCCGTCCCCTCCCCCGTTGCCAGAATCCGCGCCAAACCTCTCGCGCTCACATCCCCCAGCCAGCCACAGTTGGCTGTGACCGCGTTCCCTGTGCGCTGCACTCTCCACAGGAACACCATCCATGACCATCACTGCTGTCACTGCACTCGTTGCATCCACTGCCACTCGCTGCCTCCCCACCACCAGTTGCCGCTGCAGCCACTGCCAGTGGCCCCCCCGGCCGCACACAAAGGGAGGAATGGCGTCTGGGACAAGGGGTAGACTGTCAGGAAACAACTGTCTGCTGGTGCTATCACTGGTATAACTGCTGTCGCTGCTGCTGCTGCTGCCCTCCCTGAGCGATCTGCGGCCTCGGCCTTCGTCCCGCGTCACATGGTTCCACATCACAAACGCCAGCTCTCCCGAACCAGACTCCACCACGGAGTTCCGGACCACAAACTCCCGAACCTCAGGCTCGGAGAGCTCCTGGGCGCCTCTGTGCTTCCGGGGCTGGATGTGGTCCGGGAGATGGTCAAACGCAAAGGGGAGACGGCGGAGGAGCCTGGGAGCTGCAACCAACACCCAGCCTCCTCCAGAGGCTGTTAGCTCGTGTTTCAAGTTCGGTAGAATGAGCGAGCTGTATGGTAATGGCACATGTGGCTCGTAACGCTGTGTCCTACTGCTGGCGCGGACATCTTGACTGCTCACATGTGTCTGCTGCCATAGCGACTGTTGATGCCCTGGCTCCTTGCCTTGTTGTAACTGCGGCTGCTGCTGCTGTTGTTGTTGCGGTTGTTGTTGGTCTTGCTGCTGCTGCTGCTGCTGCTGCTGCTGCTGCTGCTGCTGCTGCTGCTGCTGCTGCTGCTGCTGCTGCTGCTGCTGCTGCTGCTGCTGCTGGTGCTGGCGTTGCAACCATAGCTTCACCTCCTCCTCGTCCTCCTCATCAAAACCCAAAACCAGTGGCCTACTCTCACCCGTGGATTCGTCTTCTTGCAACCATCGTCTTGGAATCCCACCCGTCCAATCCCCCTGTTCCCCACCTTGATTCTCCATCCATCTTCTTCTCCTTTCACCATCCTCCCCTGCCAGCAGTTCTCGCCCTCTTTGCAGCTTAGCTCTGGCCAAAACCCCTCCTCCTCGGCCTCTGCTTCTAGACAACCTCACCATAGCTCGTGCAGCATCCACGACATCATTCAGTAGAATCACACGAGAATCCACCACCATAATCACATCCTGCTGCTGCTGCTGCTGCGATCGACTCCCCGTCCGTTTCAGCTGCTCTCTTCGCCTAGCGCTATTGGCAGCACCGATAGCTTCGGCTCTCGCAACCACAGAGCTGAACAGAGGCACGCCGTCGAACGAGCTCTCCACACGAGGCTCCACGTGCACATGGTTCGGGAACTGCCGAGCCAGGTTGTGCAGGCTCGGGTGGTCCCCAAGCAGGTAGACCTGCGGGGTGGGGCGCAGCCTGAGCCATGAGAGTATGGAGCGGCGCACAAGAGTCTCATTCATGGGTGTGTTCGTGGCCAGCATGTGTGCTGTCGGTGCGGTGAAGATGGAAAGGGACAAGGAAGAGGAGGACGCGGGTGACAGGGAGGAGAGGGGAGAAGTGGAGGAAAGGGAGGGTTTCGAGAGGGTAGAGGGTGCTATGTTGGAAGATGTCTTCTTCTCTGATGGTGTTTCTAGTGCTGCTCCTTCTCCTCCTGCTGCTGTCCCTGCAACGAAATCGGATCTGTGCTGTCGGGCGGTCTCATCATGGGGCGCTGGAATGTCTTCAGTGAGACCTGCACGGCTAGGAACAACAGCAGATACAGAAGCCACAGGCTTCGTCGAAGCGTCACCAGCCCGAGAAGCAGCGCCAGCATACGACGCAGAAGCGTGATCCGCAGCAGCATGAGCCGCTGCAGCCGCCTGAGCCGCAGCAGCAGCATCCACACTATCGGCATGCTCGTCAGCCTCAGCCGCTGCAGCTTCTGCGGCCGCCCTCGCCGCGTCACTCTCCCCGCTCTCCAGACCCACCCCCGCCACCGCCGCTGCCACTGCAGCAGCAGCCTCCACATCCGCAGCCGCCGCCGCCTCCATTGCTGCCGCCACGACAGCAGCCGTGGGGTTCTTCTGGAAAAGCACGCGCCGCAGCGCTCTATGCTCCCTCTGATGGCTATCGTGCCGTGACAATAGACCGTGAACATTCTCTAACGCGGATAAGCTGCTAGCAGCTGATGTTAAACCGGGTCGATCCGCGTCGGATATGTCATGCCGGTGATGCGTTGACACATGGCCGGGCATTGACGCGTGGTGACGGTGGTGGTGATTCGTAGGCCGCGTCGGATCGCCGAGGCCATTTTGCGCGTCATTCACCTCGAGGTCTCGTCCGCTCGACGAGGCCGCAGCCGCATGATTTACTTTAGAGTCTTGTTGAGTTACCGCGGCAGCGACGACGTCGCGGCCGCGATCGTGCGACGCCCCTGCAGACGGCGCGTGATCCGCTGTTGGTGGTTCTCGTGGAAGCATGAGACTGCGCCACAACGAGAGCGGCGACCACCGCGTCGGACGCCGCCGATCGCGCTCTGATAGTATACATGAGGGGACAAAAAATAAGCGGAAAACCCCCTCAGAAAGCGCGCCGGTTTCCACGGCCACGGACGGCGAGTCCGTCGATCTGCGGCTCGTGTTCGTGAAGCTGAGAGGGAAGGATGCTCGGATGATTGAAGCAGGTCCGATCATTGCAGCAGAGTAAGCGGTACTACCATCTTCTCGTTGAATGGCGCGAGAATTTTCATCAGTTTCATCAAGCAGCGGTTGAGAATGAAAATGGAAGCTTCTTAAGCCTGTGTTTGTGTCTGCGGCATGGAAAAGGAGAGACGCGAAGCAGAGGACGAGTAGATAGAGGAGCACTGTCGATGGTCGGATAGCGGAGGCGAAGGAACGAAGTGAGAAGGGGGTTTCTCGTTTGCACCCGGCGATACGCGCATTCGGAGGGAGGAGGAAAGGAGGCGGTGAAAGGAATGACGTCGGAATGTCACTACTGATGAGGTTGAACGTGGCAATGGGCTGATCAGGTGATCCGGCGATGAGGCTCGCGGATTTTCCCGACGAGGGAGCCATTGATTCTGATTGCTTCAAGACGAGATCATGAGCAGGTTCACGTCGTAGAGGACAATTACTGCTAGAAGTAGGCGCCTTCAAGTCACAGGTAGTGAAAACAGGGCGATCGAGTCCGTGCGACCTACGTTTCGCACAGTTGACGGACAAAATGTCATACTGAGGTGAAGGTCATGGCGTGCTTCAACAACTAACAAAACTATGAGCACTTGTAAAGGAAAGAGCAACCAGGAGGAGTGAATATCGAATTGTGAAACTGGAGGGAGTGAGGAGACGAGCAGGCCTGTCGATTGACGGGCATATGCCCTTAATGCCCTGAAATTCAGGGTTACTTTCGCTCCAGCTCGACTGCATAAAGTGTTAGGATCGCCCTGCACCCGTGTCACCAAGTGCTTCGTTCGACCCTTCCCCGGATGCGTTAAGTGCTCCAACCAGGCCCTCCCCACCCACAAAGTTTTGATTTCCGGTTCTAGGACCCCCCCCCCTTAGAAATTCTGCCTGACCCCCCCACTCCCCCCCCCCCTTTCTCCTTAGGTTGCACGAGAGCGCGCCAAGGGGATTTTTCCCTTAGCGTTTTCTAGCCAATCCCGTGTTTGTGATATCTCTAAGTCAGCTTTGGAGCAGTCGAACTTTCCCTTAGCTAAGATAGTTAGGTGCAAGCCCGGATATCAAGTTTTCACTTTGGCCTGCGCCCGTGACCGTAAGGGCGCCAAAACACTCAGCTACGGCCAAAACAGGGTCAGATAGGGAGGAGCTGGGGACTCCAAGTTTGGGCCCCAGGAACTTCGACAGGCCTGGAGACGAGACGACGACTCGGCTATGCCACAACAGCACCACTGGCGACCGGACTTGACCTGATGTCCACCAGGAATTGGATTCGGTTGGAATGGAAAAAGGTTATCGTGGGGGGGAAGCCTCGTCACATCACTCCCTTGGGAATGTACCCCTGCGACCTGTTCCCCTCTCCCTCAGCTCGTCCTTTTCACGCATCTGCGACATCTTCGGCTGCGTTGATTGGTTCTCACGGTGTCCCTCGTTGGAGAACAGACAGGGTACAGTAGCAGGTTGTAGAGTTGGTTTTCGGGCAGTCCACGAAATGAATCGCAGCGCAGTGGCTGTGGAAGATTGTGGGGGCAGGGTGCTGTTGACCAGTGGGCAGGAGAAAACAAGGGGCTGTGGCGAAGCGGAAGGGGACCTGCTGGTTTGGCAGCGCGCGAACCCTCTGATCGTTCGGTCTTGTAGGAGCGGCGTTGTTCCTCGAAGTCTGTACGATGCCAGCCATTGTTCTCCTGAAACCTTTCATCCTTCTCTCTGTTTACGCGTGGTTGTTTTGAAGCTTATGTATCATATATATCTATATATATATACTCTCTCATGTTCGATCTGTTTTGTTCCTTCGTCATTCCGAGTCCGAGAGCACCAAATATGCACACGCATGTATTCACAATTTCCTCGAAAACAAAAAAAGAGCAAGAAGCAGATTATGCCTAGAAAACAAACCCAGCTGACACAGCATCTGACCAACTCACTGTCAACTCACAAGTGGGAATGAAACTTGCCAAGAATCAGTGCTCCACGCCCACAGAATTTTCAGCCACATCGTTGTGATTGTATTTGCAGGTTCCGACAAAAAGGTTCCGGCTTTTGACATGAACCAGGGTGGAGAATTGCGGCCCTAGATTTCGTCCGACTGCTGGGAGTCTGCGTGTGAAAAAAATACTTGACATAACAACTTTTGTGCTGAAGTATGCAGCCGAAACAGTCTGTTTGTGCATGCAAAAAATACAATTATCTGAGAAACAGCTTCTTGTATACACAGGGTAATTAGCACTGCCATTCGTTGTCAAAATCACTGTCAGCTCATCGATGACATGTCAGGTAAAAGGTTGGCGGAGGAGAGCCCATCTCTCCTTATCACATGGCGATAAGCAGAGTACACACTTGACATGTGGTACTCACTGCTCAGCTCACCGCCCAGTGGTGAGTCTTGTTCCGAGCCTATTCTCCCAGACCAAAACACCTGACTCTCACCCTGGTTTGGTTTGGTATGGAACAGTTCCGGCCTGCTGTATGTGTAGTCCAACCAACCACGCGTGCACACTTTGGTGAAAGGAAACGAACTGTACAACCTCGATACGTACCTCCTTTTTGCACTTCTCTCGATACCATGGAGTGTGGGTGGAACCCTTTAGTATCTTACTAGCGGAAAATATATTTACTTGCGGACTTGTGAACCTTAATTCAAATTCAGATTCTTTCAGATTCTGATGGCAGAATTAAAGTGGTGAATGTTGAGTTGAAGGGGGGATTGACAAAAATAACCTGTCCTTTCATTTGTGAGACTATAGGGACATGACCTTATTTTAATAAATTAATACAGATACACTGAAAAAAACAAACAAACAAACAAACAAACAAACAAATATGCTACGGTACTTGTGAACACTGCAATACCGTACCGAGTTTGCATATATCTTGACCGTGTGCTGGGTTGTGCTGGTTTATCATCTGTTGTTGCCAGCACGGAACTGAAAGGCACCCATTTGTGCCACAGTCTTCTGTTTTTTGACCCAGCTTTGCTCTCATAAGGTGCAGTGGCATAAAAAATCTTTGAACATAAGACAACGACTGCGTGTCTGCAGTACACCCCAAATCCACAGACCCCAGTAAGCCGAGCACTGCTGCATAAACCATACACACCATCCTGTCCAGTTACAAGCCTGCCGCACAGATCACCTCACACACCACACCCAACGGTAGCCAGGTCCCCCACAGGCACAGGGGCATCAGGCCGGCACTTTTGCGGCATGAAGACCCTCCCTGGGCGCATGGAGTACATGACAGCAGAGCGAGAGAAGCCTGACTCGGGAATAACAAGGAGGTCGGACGAGGCGAGGAGCAGCCACTCGGCAACTGTCTCCTGGTACCATGAAGGGGCTGCTGTGTGCGAGGTGTTGTCCTTGCTGATTGCCACGTGCCGCGGGACAAACTCTGTTATCACCACCTGGTGCGGAGGAGAAGGTGGGTGGGGGGGGGGGGGGGGAAGGAGAGAGAGGACGCGTGAGGGGGAGAGAGGAGAGGATGGGAGGTGATGGATTGAAAAACAGCTGAAGTGACAGGAGGTGAAGATCAGCTGCCTCTGCCTGCGAGAGGCACGGGGGAAGCATGGTGACCTGCAGAGAGGTCTAGGAGAAAGAAAGAAGGAAGACGGAAGTCAACTCTGTACGACAAGTGAGACAAGAGTTACGGGAAACGAGCAGTGCTGACCGATAGCAGAATAGTGGACTGTGAAGAGACATAGTAGTAGTACCTTGTCGGAAAATTTTTCGCGCACGGCTACTTTAAGCTGAGCGGAGTTGCAAATGAAGAACCACTTGATCTTGAGTGACGAAGGGCTCCACCACCGCTCCAACTCCTGATGGCACCATGCACCGCATGCACCATGCACCATGCACCATGCACCATGCATCATGCACCATGCACCATGGAACACACAACACAAAACGGAGCAGCGCCAGAACAAACAGTATCCCACATTTAGCATTCAGAAGCAGCAAACATTGTACAGCACACAGCACACAACAAAATGACAGAAAAGGTCAGGAGGGGAAGAAACACACGAACCAGGAAGGACAGATAGACCTTGTAGAATGACATCGCATCAGCAGACCACATATTCGGAGGCTTGGGGGGAAGTGAGAGCGCGGCATGGTGAAATTGATTAATCCCATGACATGAAGAAAAGATGATCACCATCGAGACTATACGGCCAATGGTGGAGAGGCAAGGGAAGCACAGCAGGATGTGCAGGCCATAGAAGGACTGACTGGGAAGTTCCACGGGGCAATGCACAAGGGCACACTGAGGCACACCGAGGCACACCGAGGCACACCGAGGCACACCAAGGCAGACTGAGAACAGTGACCACAGTGTTGGAACAAGGCTCCCGCTGCTTCCCCCCTCCTCTCACCCCCTCCCTCCTTCTCCCCCCCCCCTCCCCTATCAACCCCTCCCTGCCCCCCTCCGGTCAACCCCTCCCTGCCCACTTCCTCTCACCCCATCCTTGCACCTCCCACTCACCCCTCCCTGTTCCCCCCCTCTTCCCTGCCCAACCCCCCTCAACCCCTCCCTGCCCCTCCCTGTCAACTACACCCTGCCCCTCCCCGTCACCCACTCCCTGCCCTCCCTCGCACCAGGCCTCGCCGGCGCACACTCAAATATAACTTGTTCGCGAGGTGACCATACAGCTCCTCCACCTCTGCCGCTTTGAGCACCTTGGGAACTCTGTCCGTCCTTGCCGGCGTGCCGTGCTCCCAGGCTATGCAAGAATGTCGATGCCAATGCTAATGCTCTTCGCTGCATGCACCTGCCTGTGTAAGTCTCATCCCCTCTGCTCCCTCTCATCCCCTCTGCTCCCTCTCATCTCCTCTGCTTCCTCTCTCATCCCCTCTGCTCCCTCTCATCCCCTCTGCTCCCTCTCATCCCCTCTGCTCCCTCTCATCCCCTCTGCTCCCTCTCATCCCCTCTGCTCCCTCTCATCCCCTCTGCTCCCTCTCATCCCCTCTGCTCCCCCTCATCTCCTCTGCTTCCTCTCTCATCCCCTCTGCTCCCTCTCATCCCCTCTGCTCCCTCTCATCCCCTCTGCTCCCTCTCATCCCCTCTGCTCCCTCTCATCCCCTCTGCTCCCTCTCATCCCCTCTGCTCCCTCTCATCCCCTCTGCTCCCTCTCATCCCCTCTGCTCCCTCTCATCCCCTCTGCTCCCTCTCATCCCCTCTGCTCCCTCTCATCCCCTCCGCTCCCTCTCATCCCCTCCGCTCCCTCTCATCCCCTCTGCTCCCTCTCATCCCCTCTGCTCCCTCTCATCCCCTCTGCTCCCTCTCATCCCCTCTGCTCCCTCTCATCCCCTCTGCTCCCTCTCATCCCCTCTGCTCCCTCTCATCCCCTCTGCTCCCTCTCATCCCCTCTGCTCCCTCTCATCCCCTCTGCTCCCTCTCATCCCCTCTGCTCCCTCTCATCGCCTCTGCTCCCTCTCATCTCCTCTGCTTCCTCTCTCATCCCCTCTGCTCCCTCTCATCCCCTCTGCTTCCTCTCTCATCCCCTCTGCTTCCTCTCTCATCCCCTCTGCTCCCTCTCATCCCCTCTGCTTCCTCTCTCATCCCCTCTGCTCCCCCTCTCATCCCCTCTGCTCCCCCTCTCATCCCCTCTGTCTCCCCTCTTGTCATCCCCTCCCTCGTTCCCCCTCTCATCCCCCTCCCTCCCCCTCCTCCCCTCTCACCTCCGCGCATTGAAACGACAGCTTGTTCTGCTCGTAAAGCTCCTCCACCTCTGCCGCGTTCAGCACCTTGGGAACTCCGTCCTTGGTCGAGTGCTCCCACACCTTGAGGTCCTTCACGCGCGAGTGGATGCCGATGCTGAAACCGTGCGGCACGTGCACCTGCCCCGCTATGTCCCTCATTAGTTGCCATACCTCCGGCTTGGGCCTGCGGTCACGGGTGTGGGGGAGGGGGGCGAGGTGCAAACGAGGAAGAGAGGAGCACACGACGGGGTGGGAAGTGAGGGGAGAGAAACAGCAGGAGAGAAAGGGGGTGGGGAGGGAGGGGGAGTGAGGGGAGGGAGAGGGAAAGGGGGTGGGGAGGAGAAATGCCAGAGGGGAGAGAGTGGGAAACAAGAGGGAGAAGGAACGCAACAAACCCTGCTCGGAAACAAACGCAAAATGCAGTTAACCCTTCCTGCTTCCTCCCACTCCCACCACTTCCCGTCTCCGCCACACCAGCCCCCCTTCTCCCCATCCCACCCTCCCATCCCCACCAAATTCAGCAACAACAACCCACCGCAGCAGGAACCGCATGACACACGCAAACGCATACGGCGGCGTCATCCCAATCGCCTTGAACCTCTCCGCCCAAGCGCCCGTGGCCTTGGTCAGCAAATTGAACAGAATCCCGCGGTTCCACACCAGCCCGATGTGCGCGATCGCCTTGAGCTTCCCGAAATACTCCTCGGGCTCGACGTTCTTATTGTAGAGACTAAGCCGCGCGTACGACGCGTTGGGCAGGTTGTTCTCGTCTTTAATCTGCGGCGAGTAGGTGGACAGCGGGATGTCCTCTGTCACGCGCCAGTCGAACGTGGCCGGTTCGAACGCGTACGGGAGCCATTCTTGCCGCATGAGGAACGCGCGGTCGTCGAGTAAGGCTACGGCGAACGTGGACGCGAGGCCGAAGACAGTGTCGCCGAACCCGTCGTGGCCCGAGTCGAAGATCAGCGTGCGACATTGCGACGGCGACGAGGACGCGGCGGCGGGCGGGGCGCTGGGGGTGGCGGGGGAGGCGGGGGAAGCGGAAGGGGGAGCAGCGGAGGGAGGGGCAGCAGTGGCAGAGGAACCGGCGGAAGTAGCAGCAGCAGTGCCTGCGGCGGCGGCGGCGGCGGCTTCGTCCTTGCAGGCGGCGCGGACGCGGTCGTTAATCGCCATGTAGGTCTCGCGCAGCGACCCGCAGAGGTGGTCCGGGAAGGCAAAGTCGAACGGATTCGGGATGCCTGGTCCCGTGTCCGAGGAGTGTGTCTGCCTCACCGGCGCACGCGGCCGCACGACAGACACAGACGGGAACGACGGAGAAGGGGGCGTGGGGAGGGAAGGAGGGTGGGGGAAAGGGGGAAGGGGATGGGGGAGAGGACGACAGGCAGAGTGAGAAAGTGGATTTCTTTGAGATCGAAGCACAGTTTAGTTCCCGAATTCGGGAAGGAGGGGTGAGATAAGCAAGAAGCACGACGGGAAGCGATCAGCGAGAGAAAGGAGGGCACGGCGGGGGGGAGGGACTTGGCGGAACAGAGTAACGGGTTCGGCCGTGGGAATCAGACGACAATGATCTGCTTCTTTTCGCGCGCGCGCGTAAATTGCGGGTATTCTGATCGAAGCGGCGTCACTCACATGCGCATGAATGACGACGCGAGTGACGGAGAGCCATACGGCCAGCGCGATTGCTATTCTCTTAACGCCGAGGACTGGCAGCCGCCGCGAATGCATGATGGTGCCGCGAAGCCTCGTCTGAGGCTGATTGTGAGAGATTGAGAGTGGACTGCAGCGCCGTGACTGGCGGCGGACCGACGGCAGCAGCTGCAGCAGCGGACTTGCCGAAGGAGGGAGGAGGCTTATAAGTTACAGTTCCGCATGTGAAGGTGTTGAAACGAGACGTAACACCTTGACGAGTTGCAGATCAGATACGATTCGGAGCTACGAGGAGGCAAGGGTAACACCACACCAGGATGTTTAGAACCTGTGGATAGTAACATCCTATTATAAGCAAGAGAGCGAGGATCTGGCGACCATCCCCGCAAACAACGGAGAAGGTGCTGCGCAAAGATCGGTGAGTAGCAATTGTGGTTGATGGTGGAATCGAATGGCGACTGGAACAAAAAAAGTGGGCATCTGTTGCGGTTGAAATGGGCCAGCAGTACCGAGAGTTACCTACCATTAGGAAGTATCTGGGCAATGTTCACCTAGGATATATGGTGGTTTGTTCTTTTGGTATGTACACCGCCAGGGAGTTGTCAATATATAGACCTGTACATGTGAACATCCACACCACCCACCCACCGCCAGGGAGTTGTAAATATGAAGCCCTCAAGAAGACCACATCATTTAACTGTAGCAGGGTCGTTTTGGTACCAGTTTTTGAAACCACAGTTTCAGGTAACCGTATAATTATTAAAATCAAGCCTTGCAATCATGCTTTGCAACCACAGTTTTTGCCAGACAAGCCTTGCAATCATGCTAGACGCATTGAGCAACACTACCACACCATAAACCACGCATTGAGCAACACTACCACTACCGCGCCAATAAATACCCAACCCTTCTGCTGGCACGAGCGAAACGTAACACATCCCTTACCTCCCTACCAATCCTCCTCACCCTTCCACATCCAATCCAGACCAAGCATAGTACATCACCACTCCTCCACATTGTCTGCAATAAACCCCGCAGTCAGGTGGCCATTTGTGGAGCGCAGCTCGTTCATAAGGCGGCTCCAATTAGATCCAAGGCTGCCGGCGAAATAATCGCACTGCGCAGCGATCAGCACACTGGCTAAGCTCAGCGCCACCGACTGGTCGCGCTCGTACTGCCGCAGCGAACCTGCTTTGTCCTGCTGCCGTGCGTTTGACGAGTAGAAGAACGTCCATGTCGTGTGCTCCGCCGCTCGGTCTATGTTGGCCTGTGTGACACACGCAGGAAAAGGGTTGGCAACAGACTTGTAGCAATGCGGGTTGGCAACAGACTTGTAGAAGGAAGAAGAACGTCCATGTCGTGTGCTCCGCTGCTCGGTCTATGTTGGCCTGGGTGGTGTGCACAGAGGAAAAGGGTTGGCAACAGACTTGTAGCAGAGCGGGTTGGCAACAGACTTGTAGAAGGAAGAAGAACGTCCATGTCGTGTGCTCCGCCGCTCGGTCTATATTGGCCTGTGTGGTGTGCACAGAGGAAAAGGAAGGGCGTGAAGAAAAGGAGCAGAGGAGAGAAGAATGTTGGCTGGGGCTAGAAAAGCATTCCCATCAGTGGTCACAGACGAAGAAGAGGAGACTGAAAAGGCGGATGGAGAGCATAAGGGAGAGCATGGGGGAGAGCATGATGTGAAGGAATCTCAGCAGAACGAGTTGCATCATGGCAAAAACATTGTTGCTGCAGCGAGCTGACCTGTGTCTCAGTGTTGAGCCAGACATGCCCGAGGTCGGGGGCATGTGGGCGGAGGCGATTCATGTGGAAGATATGCGACGCCAGGGAGCTCAGACCCATCTCCGAATACTTGTCCGTACCCCTTACATGCAGGCTCACTATAGGCCGCGGCATGTACGGCTCATGCACTCCCACTGGGCTGTTGCCGTCCTTGCCTTTGTCCCCGTTGCTCCCTGTGGCAGCACCAGCACCAGCAGCACCAGAGGGGTCTAATTGGAAGAACATGGGGGAATTAGCTGCTGCCAATTTCTCCAGTACTTCTCGCATCCGTGCTTCCCAGACAGGTGCATTCACTTTGCCGTTGCCTGCGGCATCAGCAGAAGCGGTGGCAGTGCTGCGAGAGAGGAAGGAGAGGGCTTTCGACTGGGTCTGCAGGAACTGCGCGACGTGATTGGCTGCGATCATGCCAAACGAGCGGTGCCTCTCCCTGTTAGAGACGTGGCAGAGGTACGTGGAGGGCCAGCGCAGCAGGAAGCGCACTGCCTGCGCCCGCCACCAGTGCACCTGGGGGCATGGGGGGTGGAATGGAAGAATCAAAGGGGAGAGGACAGACAATAATGCATGTGAACACGTGATGCAATAAGCGCACTGCATATGCCCCAACCACCAGCACACATGGCAAGGGCAACAAACACAGTAGGCTTCACTGAAAGAGCATTGAACCGCATTGCTTGCCCCCACCACCACTGCATTCCCTAAAAACAAAAAGCCCGGGAAATCGAGGGGAGAAGCAGCGTGGGAATCGAAGACGCGATGCCAGATTGCAGGGAATGGAAAAAAAAAAAAAAAAAAAAAAAAAAAAACAAAAACGGGGATTGAGGGGGGAGTGAGGTCACTTGGGTGGAGTAGAGGAGAGGAAGGTCAGAGTGTGGGGGCAAGGGGGGGAAGGGACCGGAGCAAAGGGGGGGAAGGGACCGGGGCAAAGGGGGGGACAGAATTGCAGAGTCTTGTGAAGTAACAACAGGGGGAAAGGAGAGGGGACGCTTTTCGGTCTCTCCAGGCAAATTAGCCTGAAGGGGGAAAGAGGGTCTGACATGCCTTCGTGGAAGAATCATTTTCAGTCTTTCCAATCATGCTGTTCAGCCCTGCCTTTACCACAACTGCCTTGCAATGCGATTGGGTTGGGCCAGCAAGATCAAGTCAGATGCCAACCCGCGTTACTACAATGTCAGTAGTGTCCCGTCGAATCCATCTGAAGTTTGCTTACCTTGCGCAGATGTTCAGTCAGATTCGTTAGTCTGCCGTCCATCTGCACGGTGCAGGGCGCCTTATAAAGGGCATCACCCCACAACCTGACGAAAGAAGAAGGGGGAAGAGGGGGATTGGAGTCAAGTCAAGAGAGAGGAAGTAGCGGAAAGGGTGCGGTGGCAGTCAGCTTGGCGCACTGCACATGGAATTCATTCCTTCAGTAGCTGCAGAGTGCAGGGCGAACTCAATAGCGCTTCAGTAGTTTGCCCTGGGATGGGGCTTCTCTTAGAGGCTGTTGCGGGGGATGGGATGGGCGGGAAGCAGTCAGGGAGGATGGTCTGAAGCGTGGTGAGAATGGCTCTCGATAGAACTTTCTCTTTGATACGATAGGTTTCAGAAACAGAACAAGATTAAAACATGGGCACAAGTGTGTATATGTGTGTGTGCGCGCGCGCACGTGTATGTGTGCGTGTGCGTGTGCGTGTGTGTGTGCTCGCAATTGCGCGTGTGTGTGCGAATGTGTGTGTGCGCATGTGTGTGTGCACATGTGTGTGTGCGCATGTGTGTGTGCGCATGTGTGTGTGCGCATGTGTGTGTGCGCATGTGTGTGTGTGCATGTGTGTGTGCGCATGTGTGTGTGTGCATGTGTGTGTGCGCATGTGTGTGCGTGCGCTCGTGTGCAAGCAATCTGCACTGTGAACGAACGCACGCTGCAGCGCCAGCTTCCATGGCGAGCTTCGAAGGGTTGGGGTAACCGACAAACACAATCGTATCGTTCCGCGCCGCCACTTCAGAAAAGTCGTTCCCCCCACGCGGGATCTTGTCGCGGCTCTTCTGAACAGCCTCCAAGTAGACTTTCTGGCAGGCTGGCGAGACCATGGAGAAAAAGAAGCACTCCCATTGGCTCTTGTGACCCACAGCTGAGGTAGTGTGAATGGGGCATGGCAGGGGGGATGGGAACGGAAGGGGGAAGGTGGATGGGGCGAGGGGATTGGGGTGGAGGAACGTGAAGTGTGGTAAGTTTAAGAACGGGAACAAAGAAATAACAAGGAAAGGAAGGAGGAGGCATGCCAGTGGCTGCTAGTTTTGAGGCGCCTCAAAGCTGGAGGCATGCCAGTGGCTGCTGAACAGTGCGCTGTTGTGGTGCACAATTTGGAGCAGGTGGAAAGGAGTTAACCGGGAAGCAGGTGGAATGATCATCAGGGGTGGCGGAAGGGACGTCACAGGTGAAAGAGGCAAGGAAGGGGGAAGATTCAAGAGCACAGAAGGGAACTGACAGTGGTGTGTTAGAGATTGGTTTTGACGAGGGATGCAACTTTGGACTGAAAAAGACTGTGGTGGTAACGGCCGGTCTTAAGAATGTAGGAGGCTGAAATGAAAGTCTATGGCCAAGAAGCAACCGCTCTGCAATTTTTTCAACCTTTGTTTGGCTTGCGTGTGCGCTTGTGTGCTGCGATGACATACCACACCACACCCCATGCAATGCCATGGTCAGCTCCGTAGGTAGAAGCAGCTATCCTGAAGAGATTGTGTTTTGCCTGGTGCTTGGTGTGTTTTGACGTTGATGTACATAGTAGCATGCACCCCATGCCATGCACCCCATGCCATGCACGGACCTTCGCAGGCGGGGGTGTTGGCGCGGTCGAAGGCCTCGGGTTCATCCACCAGTGTGCGGTTGTTGCGCATGGCTAGGCTCAGCATCGCACTCATGTAGTGGATCTGGTAGGTGGGGGCGTGGGGCGAGGGGTTGTAGGGTGTCGGGTTTCGGGCGTAAGGAGTCAGCAAGCACACATAACAGTGCACCCACGTGGTGCACCTGAGTCCTGACACACACGCACAGGTTCATCCACGAGCGTGCAGTTGTTGCGCATGGCTAGGCTCAGCATCGCACTCATGTAGTGGATCTGATGGGTGCGGGTGCCAGGTGTAGGGCGTAGGGCGCAGAGCGTAGGGCGTGGGGTGTAGGGCGTGGGGCGTGGGGCGTGGGGCGCAGGGCGTGGGGTGTAGGGTGTAGGGTGTAGGGTGTAAGGCTTCAGCACACATAACAGTACGCTCATGCGGTGCACCTGACAGGACACGGGCATGCGCATCCATTGGAATGCGGCTGTTGTGCATGCTTAAAACAAATGCAGCATCATGCTCATGTAGTGGATCTGGTGGGTGGGGGCGTTGGGTCTGGTGTGTATGGCATGTGTGCTGTGGATGGTGCATGATGCATGGTGCATGATGCATGGTGCATCCTGCATGGGGTCTGTAGTGCGTTCAAGCATGCATAGCACCTGGCATGGCAAGCACATACACATTCACGGATCACACGCGGGTGCGATCACGGCGCATGGCAACAAGAGAACCACACACAGCAGAACCCACCTGAGAGCCCATGCCATGCGCGGCGGATTTCGCCCAGTCAACAACCAGGAGGCGCCTGTTGGTGCAATCCCCAGCGGGGAACTGATTCCGCCAGATGTCCCTCTGCACGACACGTGTCAGCGGCAGATTGGCTGCATCCTGCCCTCGGATCTGGACGGTGAAGAGGTAGGGAGATGGCGAAGGGAGGTGAGACCATGAATACCCTGTAATCAATGAATGAATGAATGAATCAATCCCCTGGCTCCTTGACATTGTCATCCTGTGAAGCAAATTCAACATTGCCTTGCCCTCCACATCAACTTGACACAATGGCATTTCCACGGAGGCCTCACGCTCGCTCGCAAACCGGCCTTGGTCCACGCCAGGATGGGTGGATCCTGGCCGTTGTAAGCTAGCTAGCCTCTGACTGCCCCGTCACGGGCCGACAGCCCTGCCCACCAGCCCGGCCCTTCCTTTGGCAGGTCGGAACGTGACGAGCTGGCTCTCAAGGGGCCCGCTACACATTATTTACAGATCTTATATGCTGCCCATTCTCCCGCCATGTCCGCGCGGATCTGGGGTTTCACCCGCCCGATCCGAGCTGGCATTAAACGTGTGCGCGTTCTCCGACGGACGGGACACGTGGAGGGCCCGGGCTCCTGGACTATTGCCCTGGACATGCCAGCCATGGACCTTCATGCCGACGCAATGAACCCACAATGGCATTGACAGCCACAATGGCCCAACCCAACACGCAGCGTCTTGAATGCCTGCCTTAACGCATCAAATAAAGCTCAGGGCGTTCTTTCCCTCTTACCCAAGGTGGTTGCGGGACCTCCTCCCCCTGGGCCTGTCCCGCGGAGCAACCCGCGGAGGCGGCGGAAGAATCCCCCTTCCCTGGAGCTCCGCGGGTCCAAGCGGGTTCCTCTCCCCGTCCGCCTCTCCGCTCCCACGCCTCCCGCTCCGCGCTCACTCGCGCGCAGTCCTCCAGGTGCGGCGCAGCGGGCACGCGCGGAGGGAGAGAGATTCTCGCGGGGGGGGTGGTGGAATTCCCGCCCAGGCCGTACGCCTCGGACCAGGAAACGAAAAGCGACGAGATTAGCTGAAACGACGCCTCGCGACCTTGCGCTAGCGCTAGGAGCGGAGCAGCCGCTTCGTGAGTGCGCGAAGGGGGGAGCGAAGGAGAAAATAGTAGCGCGCCGACGAGGACGAGGTGGAACGAGAGGGCGCGTGAGAAGGATGCGCGAGGCTGACCTGGCTCGACGCCGTAGGAGCCGTGACTACGTCTGTGTCGGTGTTTCAAAAGCTGAAATAATGGTGGGACGCGGCACGAGCCGCGCCGACAGAGCATTCCGCTAGGCAGTGATGGGGCGCAAGCCTGTCGCAACGGCGTCCCGCGCTGTTTCGGTTCCAGTATGGCGGATTACCAGGAGGGAGAAAGATCCAAAGGTGGACATACAGATCGAAAAATCGGAATCGTAACCTGGGAATTGGTTGCAGAATGAAAGAAGAGCATGTCTTAGTATCCGGCCGTTGCGGAGATTCCAGCATTCTTGCGTATGAGGTTGACAGGAAACTGATCATTCTGTACTCGTTACTTGCCAGACTCGAGGGAACCAATATGATTGTAGAGAGCTGCGATCATCGAGTATCCGAATGCAAAGGTGTTACAATGAGTCTGGAGTAGAAAGATTGGTCAGGATCTTCACCATGCCATGCGCCAGTCTGTGTATGCTATACGAATATTGTCATGCATGGGTGTCCTTACTTTAGTTTTCCGATTAAAACCCATGAAATTTGGCGCTTTAGCTAGTCAAGAGTCTACCAACTCCATTCAGGAACATTACAAAGGTTTGAATGAAGCTTGTGTATAAAGCTGCACTTGCTAATGATGCTGCTGAATCAAATTAGTTATTACATACTATCAATTTGCCAACGAACTCCCAAGACTCGGGATGACCTCGAGTAACCACGTACACACAACTATGACCAAGCCCCCTGTCAGGGCTTCTGTTCCTTCTGGGCTTGGCTTTTGCCTCCCCCCGCCATTACCTGGCTGGCATGCTGACAATGGCTGGCAGATTTCGAGCAATGGCCATCTGTCAATTCGACGGTACAGAACTGGAAGCACCTACCATAACTGTTCAACAAACGGATGACTAACGGGATCGGCCGGCGGATGTTGTGGGGAGGACCCAGGCAGACGACAACAGTCAACGACATCCAGAGATACAAGTTACATCGATTACAGACACTTTTTCCTGGTCGCCTAACTGACGACATCTGTCAGATTGTAAACGGACGCCGCCGGCGGATTTTGTTAGAGGGCCCTACGACAGCAAGGGCCCTCGATGACCTTTGACTTGGCAGGTCGGCGCCTAACGACTGAGTCTACTCGGCACCGACGCACGAGTTCGGTGGCGGTCATTAGTGACTACGGGTGACTGTGAGCTACTGCAGCGAACTCGGCGGAATCGGTGCTAGGAATGACGAGTCTTGGGGGTCGTAGGTGCCTTGCTTGTGAGGCACGCTGCTCACTTGCTGTGTTGGCAGGAGTAGCGTGCACGGTGAGACATTCCGGTGCCGAGTTGGGTTGGAAATGTGCGGGGCGCGTTCACCCACCTGCACAGCACTTTCGTGTGGGTTGGGTTACTCGCAGCGCCACGCAACAATTGTGCAACTCTTGCTTGCCTATATATGTTTGTGTTTGCTTGTGTGTTTGATAATTGATATTGCAATTCTACTTGGCCCAAATACTACTTCAATTCTCACAAAGTCCTTAGAGGCAAACGCTACCAAAACTCTACCAAGTTGCTAGCGCAACATCATTCCCATAGCAGAGACTCTCTCGCTATCGCTACGCTCTCAAATATATTCCTTCATGGTGCGGTGAGCGTGGAACGAACACGCATAGATTTCCGTCGTCGTTGATATTCGCGTTCGTATACTCGCCTTGGCGTGCGGCGTTAGTGAAGGGCGCTTATTAATCTAAGTTGAACCTCTCTTGATTTCCCTCCAGTTACGTTCTCGGACCCAAGGATAGGGCGTTTGGTAATTTATTACCACTCGTCTGAGGACCCTTGTGAGGTGACCCCGAGACGAGGGATTTAAGGAAGGAGCACTTTATTTTAATTTGTGGTACCTTATAGAGACGTCGTAGAGGATGAGTACAGAGGAGGCGAACGTGGAGGCCGGTAATTTGCGCGCCCTAGAGGAGGATCTCGTGGCTCGTCATTCTCGTGGTGAGATTAGTGATATCGAATACGAGCTAATGTTGGAGGGATTGCGCTCGCGTCGGCGTCGTGAGCACCCTTCGCCACGTGTAGAGAATGTTGAGCAAGTTGCGGGAGGTACTAGTGCGTGGGATATGGCTGTCGATGGCGGAAATAGCGATGACGAGGAGTTTGATGGGTTGATGTCGCGTGGGGTCCTGCGAGGACCAACTCGGTTTAGTACGGCTAGCGTCGGCGGTGTACAGGAGCGTGTTCATCGTGCAGCAGCGTCACGAGAGCATGCGAATGTAGGACGGCGGAGCGTTGCTGGAGGAGGAAATGCGGAAGAGTACGATAGTGAGGCTATGCCGGGCGTTACCCCGATTGGATCGATGTCGAGGGACGAGGGAATAGCCCCCAACTATGGCTACTTCAGATTCACTCCTGACAAGATCGTTGTCCCTAGGCCGTTAGAAGGACGCCACGACCTGTCGACGTGGACAGAATCGATCGAGCCGCAGCTTGAGATCGCTCAGCTAAAGCGATTCATAGATGGCACCACTCCCATTCCACCAGCGCGTGCACTTGCACATCTCTCCCAGTTCCGCGCGATGCAGTTACTGACATTCACCACCATTTCCCGATGCTGCTCCCCAACCGTACAGATCGCCCTTAAGGCGTGTCGCATGAAGGTAGATGCCGGCTATCAGGCATGGCAGTTTATTATGCGCACGTACATGGCGAAGGACGATCTGTACATCGGCCAGTTAGAGCAGGCGCTCACTAACCTCGAGATGGGAGAGCACGAGTCCGCTACGTCCTATTGCAATCGTGCGCAGCAGATCCTAGTGAACCTGAGGATGGCCGGCGTAGATTACTCGCAGGCGTCGTACATTACTCACGTTGTGAAGGGGTTGCCGCAGCAGTACAACCTCTTACGCAGGATGCTGAAGTTGCCGCAGGTGCGCAAGGAGTTGGACGAGGACACCCTCGCTAGCTACATCATCGAGGAGGAGTGTACGCTGGCGGCGGAGGGACGAAAGGACCAATTCCTTCCCCAGGCTAACCAGGTCTTTACCAAGAAGGGTAAGCCCCAATTCCAGCAGAATTCATTCCCTTCCCCTCCCACTACGGCACAGCAGCAGCAGCCTAAGAATGGGGGTGGGGTTGGTGGGGGAGGGGAGAAGTGGAAAGGGGGTAAGGATGGCCAGCCGAAGGGGGGGAAAGGGAGCTTCAAGGGGAAGTGCTATGTGTGTGGACAAATAGGGCATGTTGCTAAGTACTGTCAGAAGCGGGCGGATAATGAGGCAGACACTGGGGGAGAGGGTTCTGGAGGTAGCAGCGGAAAGGGGGGTGATGGCTCTAAGGGGAGCGGGCAGTCATCATGTGCGATGGTGAAGCCAGTTGTGGAGCAGACTCCTCTCGTTGTGCTAGAGCCTGAGGCCGGGGAGGGCTTACAGGCTGTTGCAGCTGCTGTGAAGGCGAACCCGAGCGTCGTGCTGCTTGATAGCGGATGCTCCCACCATCTCATGGGAGATCGTTCTGCCTTTGTGGAGATGAGCAGCGGCGGCAGCATTAAGCAGGTTACCGGCTTCAACGGCGCCCTTCAGGAGGTGCAGGGGCGAGGCACAGTCGCTCTTCTTGGGGAGGGGGGCAGGCGTGTCTTGGTGCCGGACGTGCTGTACGTACCAGGAGTGCAGGCGAGTCTTCTCTCTGCTGGGCAGCTGCGTGATAGTGGTGTGCAGCTGCTGGATGCCGGGGATGTGACTTTGCTGCGGGCACCAGATGGATCGCTCCTTGGTCGTGCGGAGTTCAAGGGGCGTGTTCTCTGCACGAACTTCCAGCCGTGTTCGACGCAGCAGCAGGAAGGCGAAACGGTGGCACTTCGTACCTTGGCGACCGGCGTACGGTCTAAGGGGGACCTGTGGCATGCGCGTATGGCACACGTTGGTATTGATGCCATCGAGCGCACAGCGGCTCACGGGTCAGTGAAGGGTTTGGATTTGGAGAAGGGGGGCAAGTCAGGCATACCTTGTGTCTCCTGTGTTGGGGGAAAGATCACTCGTCATACCTTTCCTTCTGTGGGAGAGGAGGAGGATGAGTTGCTCGGGGTGGTGCATGCTGACCTGTGTGGCCCTTTCCGTGAAGCAGCTAAGGACGGCAGCCGCTACTTCTTGGTGCTGAAGGATCGCAAGACGCGGTTCGTCTGGGCCTACCCTTTGGCCCAGAAGAGTGATGCGCTGGCGGCGTTCCAGAAGTGGCTCCCGATGGCAGAGCGACAGTGCAAGACCACGGTGCAGGCGCTGCGCACTGATCGGGGTGGCGAGTTCCTGGGGCACGACTTCACGCTCTTCCTCGACGGTAAAGGCATCATCCATGACCTCACATGCCCGTACACGCCGGAGCAGAACGGGATGGCCGAGAGGGAGATGCGCAGCATTGTGGAGGCGGTGCGGACGATGTTGCTGCACATGGGTGTACAGCATCACTGGTGGCACCTGGCGTTGGCTCAGGCCGTCTGGGTGCGCAACCGCGTGGAGCACGCCTCACTACCCTCTGGTGTGACGCCGTACGAGCTCGCCTTCCGACGCAAACCTGATGTCAGTATGGTGCGTGTTTGGGGCTGCATGCTGCAGTACATGGTACCACAGTCGCAGCGTGGGGAGAAGCTGGCGCCTAAGGCTCGCTGGGGGTTGCACTTGGGTGTGTCAGCTGCGAGCAAGGGCTGGGCCGTGCTGGACTTGGAGTCCAACCGCCTCATCACCACTGTGGAAGCTGTGTTCTATGAGACCATGTCCCTAACAGGATGGAAGGCTTGGCATCAGCAGGAGCATGGGGGGCGTTCGATGCCCTATGAGTTCCTTCCCTCACTCTTCCCGATCACTCTCGAGGAGGCGGAGGAGGAGGAGGAGGTGGTCGCACCTCCTGCTATGCCCTATGTCCCTACCTCGGTCCCCACCCCACCTCCGCCTTCAGTCTACCCTCGTGTGATTCCCCCTGCCCCGCCTTTTTCCTCCTCACCCCCCTTGGCTTCCCCTCCTCCTCCTGTTATTCCATCTCCCCTTCCACCCTCCATCCCTCCTGCACCTTCTCCGCCCTCTTCTTCGTCTTCCACGGCGCCGCCCGTTGGTGAGGGGGGGATGGAGGTGCCACCGTCTGTGGAGATCACCGACGGGCAGCGCCTTGAGACTGAGCAGCTGCAGGACGAGAGCAGTATGGATGGAGTACAGCAGAGTGGGGGGCAGGAGACAGGGGAGCAGCAGACAGGGGAGCAGCAGATTGGGGAGCAGCAGACAGGGGAGCAGGAGATGTGGGGAATTAGAGATGGTGGTCGTATGTTGGTTTCTGGGACGACCACTGCACCACTGCGTCGCTCCACTCGCATCACTCGTGGTGTCCCGCCTGTTCGATATGCTTGGGCTGTAGTGGTTGAGCCAGCGGGCTTAGATGACGAGGAGGAGGACGAGGAGTGGACTAACCTGGACCCGGACGTGGCAGCTGATCCTGAGAGGCAGTGGGACATAGCGAAAATGACAGTGAAGGAGGCCTTGGGCTGCTGGAAGGGAGACAAGGTGAAGGAGGCGATGGATGAGGAGATGCGGAGCTTGATTGAGCAGGGGACGTGGGAGTTGGTTCCGCGTCCGCCAGGGGTGAATGTGATGAAGAACCGCTGGATTTTGAACACCAAGTTCCGACCTGATGGGATAGTGGAGCGTGAGAAGGCGAGGCTGGTGGTGAAGGGGTTCACGCAGGTGGCAGGGGTGGACTATGAGGAGACGTACGCCCCTGTGGGAAGCTATGTGACGGCGCGTGTGCTTCTGGCGATTGCAGCTGCACTTGATTTGGACCTGATGCAGCTCGATGTGAAGAACGCGTTCCTCCATGGCGTGCTGGACCGAGACCTTTACATGGAGCAGCCGAGCTACTACGAGGATGGGACTCCTCGTGTCTGTAAGTTGGTGAAGAGTCTGTATGGGCTCAAGCAGAGCCCGATGCTATGGTATGAGGCCTTGGATGGGGTGCTGCTTGGGGCTGGATGGAAGAAGAGCAAGGTGGATGAGGCTCTGTACTTCAAGACTGATGCTGAGGGGGAGATGTGCTGGCTGCTGGTGTATGTGGATGACCTGCTTGCTGCCAGCCGCGGTCAGAGCATGCTAGCGGAGCTGCGTGACCTGCTGCAGAGTGCCTTTCAGCTGCGGGAGATTAGCCCTGTGGAGAAATATCTGGGGTTGCAGCTGATTCGGGACAGGCCCACGAGGAGGCTGTGGCTGCACCAGGGGGCCTATGTGGACAAGGTCCATAGGCGCTTCTTTGACGGGGAGCAGCCGCTGCGAGTGCCTCGCACCCCTCTTTCCTCTGACCCTTTCAGTGTGCAGACCTTCGAGGATGTGGGATGGCAGTCTCGCCAGGAGGAGGAGTACAGGCAGAAGGTGGGATCCTTGTAGTTCGCGGCCTGTACCACCCGTCCCGACATCTCGTTCGCCTGCAGCAAGCTGGGGTCGGGCCAGACTGTGCGGAGTGATCAGCACTGGAAGGAGTTGGACCGGTGCTTGACGTACTTGGTGGGGAGCAGGGATGTGGCACTGGAGTTTGGTGGTGGGCCGGAGTCCTTGGAGCTGGTGGGCTACGCCGATGCTGATGATGCAGGGGACAAGCAGAACAGGACCAGCACAGGTGGCTATGTCTTCGTGCTCGGGGGTGCTGCTGTCTCATGGGCGAGCCAGCGGATTCGTTGCGCCACCCTTTCCTCCACTGAGTCTGAGTACGTTGCTGCTGTGGAGGCTGGGAAGGAGGCGCGCAGGCTGCGCTTCCTGCTGGCAGAGTTTCAACTGCTGAGGAGTGAGGAGCCCACGACTCTCTTTGTGGACAACTCCTCCGCCATTTCAGTGGCAGGTGGCATGGGGCTCAAGGGGAGCCTCAAGCACATGGAGCGTCGTCACATGTGGCTGCAGCACATGGTCAAGCGCAGGAAGCTGCAGCTGCAGTACATCCCTACGAGCGAGCAGCCTGCTGACTACCTCACAAAGACATTGCATTTCCCCGCCTTCAGTCGTTGCTTCGAGGCTGTGGGGCAGGTGCGGCTCTCGAGTGAGGGGAGTGAAGACCTAGACACTCCATGATGTGGATGGTGCCATGGCCTATCCATGGCTGGTGCGGTACGTGTTTACACTTTGAGCGTGTTTCGTTTGTGTGTATCCCTTTGTTTTGGTGTGTATGTGTGTATGCATGCCCTGTGATTATAAAGGGCCTTGCTGTAGTATGGCAGGGGAGTGTTAGAGGGCCCTACGACAGCAAGGGCCCTCGATGACCTTTGACTTGGCAGGTCGGCGCCTAACGACTGAGTCTACTCGGCACCGACGCACGAGTTCGGTGGCGGTCATTAGTGACTACGGGTGACTGTGAGCTACTGCAGCGAACTCGGCGGAATCGGTGCTAGGAATGACGAGTCTTGGGGGTCGTAGGTGCCTTGCTTGTGAGGCACGCTGCTCACTTGCTGTGTTGGCAGGAGTAGCGTGCACGGTGAGACATTCCGGTGCCGAGTTGGGTTGGAAATGTGTGGGGCGCGTTCACCCACCTGCACAGCACTTTCGTGTGGGTTGGGTTACTCGCAGTGCCACGCAACAATTGTGCAACTCTTGCTTGCCTATATATGTTTGTGTTTGCTTGTGTGTTTGATAATTGATATTGCAATTCTACTTGGCCCAAATGCTACTTCAATTCTCACAAAGTCCTTAGAGGCAAACGCTACCAAAACTCTACCAAGTTGCTGGCGCAACATCATTCCCATAGCAGAGACTCTCTCGCTATCGCTACGCTCTCTAATATATTCCTTCAGATTTTGAGGAGGATTGGTCAGTGGTCATCATCACACAGACGTCATGGTAAGGAGCTGAAGTGCTGTCCATCCATACAGCCAGGCTCGCAGTGGAAGAGCCAATGTCACTGGCTTGGATATGCACTTTTCGCTGGAGGGCGGTTCGATAAAGAGCTGAGTGTGGCGATGGTGGAGGAGGGGTTCGATAAAAAATAGTCCGCTGTCCGCTGTCCGCTGCCCGCTGCCCGCACCTCGCAGAAACCTACACTGAAGGAACACAGCAGTTCCCGCTTCAAGTGGACAGTAGTAGTACTCATTCCGCGTAGCAGATCCACCGTGGACATTCGACGTTCCCCCGAGCACTGAACGCCAGGAGGACCAAAGGCAGAGCAAGGACGGCAGACGAGCACTCCACCAAGCCACAGTGCGCGCCACTGCAGAGCAACCGCTTCGTTCGAATGTGAAGGAATAGCCTCGTTCCGTTGCGAAGAACTCCACGTCACCTCACCAATGGTTGACGCTCACCAATGGGATGATGATCACCAATGGGATGATCACCAATGGCAACGCCACCCCGCCAATGTCACATTCCCGTGTTGTTACACCGATAGAAGCACTCTCCGCTCCCGCACCCATTTGCAGCACAACACGTCCTCTCATGCTACGATATATCACTTGGTCGCTTTTATTAGGCATCACATCTCGTTCTTTTCTTGCGTGGACACCTCTAAACCATGTCTCTCGTTATCGTCGTCTCGCTCCTCTTGCTCTGCGCATCGCAGCCGTCCGTCACGGCGCAGATGTCAGGCGGGCAGATCGGCGGCGAGGCGGGTATCGAGCGAGCCATGTCTCTTTACCGAGTGAGTTGGTGATTGCTCCCGTCTGCACACAGCGCAGCTTACTGATGGGGTAATACATTCCAAGAGCTTAGCTTGCGCGCCGTGCCTGCGAATCCTGATAAGCCAAAGCACAGTTGACTTCCTCTCTCTCTCTCCTCGCTCCTCGCTCCTCGGTCCTTCGTCCTCGCGTCTCGCTCTTTCTTCCCCTTAACTCATCACTTCCCACCCCGTCTTGATCCGTCAGTTATGGGAGGAGGCCTACGGATTGAAACACGACATCCACATGCCACCCTCAAAGATTTCCTTGCCGGCCATCGTGCCGCCCGCGCCGCACCTGGAGGACTGCGAGGTGCTGACAGCGGCGAGGACGGCGTCGGAGAGACGCGAAGGCAATGGACAGCCTCCTCTGTGGGCGCGGCCGGCTGTTAACTGCTCCGAATGCAACCCGCAACCACCATGGGTAGGTACTATGACTAATAGGGCACCACCATGCTCGTCCTTCCACTGGGATTGTAGAGGCACACAGCCTTGTCCAAACAACTACCAACGCCAGGCATACGTCAAAATGTGTAATAGTGATTGATTTATTCATTCCTTTTTGCCCCTCAAAAAGCGTATTTTCCCGTCCTTGCTTCGCATGTCATGTGAGGACTAGGCACGAACGAGCATGTCGTGCTGTCGTAATACTTCTCCACGCGAGGTGGGAGTAAGAAAGACAAAGGTTGGAGGGAGACGAATGGGAGATTTTCTCTCGAACCAGTACCCATCACCATCCCCTGCCCACCCCCTCCCAACCCCCAGGTGCGCGGATCCGATGCGGACAACCTACCGCTGACGCGCGTGGCGCAGCGCGATCTGTGGGAGCACCAGATCTTCAACGGCCGCTGCGACGGCAAGCGCCTGCTCGTCGTGCCCTGGCCCTCAGCGGCCCGTCACGGCGTGGGCTCGCAGGTGGGAGAGGGCGTCGCAGGTGCCTTACGGGGTGGGACAGTGAGAGTCGAAAAGAAAAGTGAGGGTACTTGGATCCTAGGTGGGTTGAGGGGCTTGCAAACGAGAGTCGGTTTCCCTCCCTCCCTCCCTCCATCCCTCCCTACCTACCTCCCTACCCATTTCCCTCCCTACCTACCTCCCTCCCTCAGAGTCGGGGTGCTTGGAGGTGGGAGTGGCTGCTCACTTGGTTTCCCTCCCTCCCTTCATCCCTACCTCCCTCCCGTTCGCTCTCCATCTCCGTCTCCCCCACTCCCGTTTCCCTCTCTCCCTTGCACCCACCCACCGGCACATCAGATACACCTAATGAGCGCTTTCCTGAGCCTGGCCTTGATCTACAACCGCGTACTCGTGCCCACGCCTGGCTCGTACGACCGCGCGCTCACCGAGATATGCAATGGTGAGCCCTACAAAGCTTGCCTCTGTGCGGACCTACTCACTACCTCCAGTTCGTGTACACATCTGTAGGTTTGTGTACGTTTTTATGTGCATTGGTTTGGATGTACATGTTTCTACAAAAATGTACTACGTGGAGGTGTGTTACAATGTCCCAGGGGTCCTCGCTCATAGCGTAAGAGCAGCAAATCTGGAAATTGGAAAACTCTTGAAGCAATTAAGAGGAACGAAACTGATAAAATTCTTCCTGGAAACCAGCAGTAGAACTGGAAAATGTACTAGTGGATGTGTGTTACGATGTGTGCCTTCTATATGCGCTGCGCACTGACAAGTATATTTTTGGATCCATGCGCTCCTATGTACATTTGCATCTCTGTTTGTGTCAATGTGTCTCTGCTTTTCTATGCGTTTTTGTGTGTTTCTACGTGGATCTGGTTTTCCAACACCACACTGATAGCTAACTCCTCCCCCAACGCCCATTCCACATTGAATGGGTAAATTGCGTCGGCACCATGCCCAACCGCTTCCTTCTCCCACCCCATTCCCCACTTCCCACCCACCTCTCCCACGCTGCCCTCCCCCCCCCCCCCCCCCGCCCCTCCTTTCCCAGCCACGAAGATGAGCGGGTCGTGGAATTGCTACTTCTTCCCCATAGTGAATCCGGACTGTGAGCGCGTCGTGACGGATATGATCGCCAAGAACACCATGCCGGCCATGTCCTCGGACGACAAGGCCCATGACCGCATTGCTTCCTCGGAAGACCTTATCGCTCACCTTGACTCCAACGCTGACAGGGAGCTGTCTTACGAGTCCCGTGCTGCCAAGTGAGTGTCACGGGAAGGGGAAGGGGAGGGGGAAGGCGAAGGGCTACGGGGGATGTGTGTGGGGTGTTAAGGGTGCAGGGAATGTGGGGTGGATGCATGGCTGAAGGTCGCCGTTGAGATGGTTACAAGTCCTTGGTTAATAATTCAGGGTTGTGGCAAGGGCCGAAGTGTCAGAAAGATATACCTTTGCGTCCTCTCTTCCCTCGCACCTCTCCCCCCATCTCTCCCCCCATCTCCCCCCCCCATCTCCAATGCTTACATTGCTCACACCTTATGCTCCACCTCTTTATCGCTTTGCAATGGCTTTGCGTACCTTCCCTCACACGCGATCCACCCCTTTTTATGCTTTTCCTCCCATGTACATTCCTCCCTACCTTCTGTCGCACCCGCCTGACAGTCTGTGGTCAAGGAATCAGCCTTGTACACTGATTGGAGGTTCCTCTACTCCTCCAACGCGCGCCAGCCCGTGGATTCCAGGGGGAACCGCGAGTATGAGTTCAAGCAGTCAGTCACAGAGAGTTTCGCAAGCGCTATTATTGCATTGCAGTGCGACTACTTCGTGGGTGCGCTTGGTTCTAACTGGAGCCGACTGATAAACGAGCTGCGCTCGACAAATGGGAGGTTGCTCACCGGTTATTTCACGGTGAATATTGGATTCTGGTAGCTGCACTCTCTTTTGATGTTAAAACCCGCGTCTCATAATTTTTACCGTATTACACTTGGTTGGGAGGTGCCACCTGGGATTGGTCCACGAGTAGCGAAATTCTGCACGAGAGGAGGGGTGATTTGGGCGAAACCTGAACACTGTACGCCCAACACCAAACCTACCGCCCTAACTTGTTTACACACCCACACCTTTGCAAACAGGTTCGTCAGGTTTGCCACTCCCTCTTACAAACCCAGGCACGAGAGGAGGGGTTAAGAATTGACATAAGGACAAAAGAGTATGATTGCACACTAGAATATGACAAGAGTAAACAGTGGAAGTGTAGCACAAGTAGATGAAATAATAATATGCTTGAGATGAGATAAGATGAAGATTAAACTTGGAGGCTTTAAAGAGAAACAAGTGTTAGGAAGGATACTAGAGGAGATATGTTAGCTTAGAGAGAGAGAGTGAAAAGGTGAGTACTTACCGTATTACCCCGGATAGAAGCGCAGGTGCGCTTATAATAAAACAGTGTTTTTTAGATGACGACATCCAAGCAGACGGGTTCTGGGGCAACAACGCCACGGAGCCTGAATCGGACATGGAGGAAGAGGAGGCCTAAGGCTATACTAGGCAAGATGATGGTGCTTAGGCTAGGACAATAGTCACCCTATTGTATGTGAAACTTTCAGCAGTGCAAAATTATAACTAATGAAGGAGAACATCAAGCTTGGTGTTGGATGGTGAACCTTTCCACAAGCTTGTACCGTATTATTCCGGCTGTAGGACCCGCCGGTAAAAGGGTCCCTCGTGACTCTCTATAGGGTACTGGGACTCTTAATTTGGTACCAAAATGTGAGGACCCCCCTTTTGCCCCTAAACATTATAAGACCCCCCTCGACTGTTTAGAGTGTGTTTCATTACTGGGAGTTTTTCTACTATTGCATTAGTACTACGGTACGAATCATAATACTGATGTCAAAAATAACATTGGAACCTACATCATTTAGAGCAAACGTTATCTGAAGCAATCCTGCGCAAGTGCAATCCGATACCTGTACATGCAAATCTACCGTACTCTTCCGCTGCCACTAGCCACCAACATGTCTCTCACTCCCCGTAGTCCTCCTCCACATCCCCCTCCATGTCTCGCTCCTCCTCCTCCTCCTCCTCCTCCTCCTCCTCCTCCTCCTCCTCCTCCTCCTCCTCCTCCTCCTCCTCCTCCTCCTCCTCCCCCTCCTCCTCCTCCTCCTCCTCGTCGTCCTCGTCCTCGTCCTTGTCCTCGTCATCCTCCTCTTCCTCCTCCTCAGGCGGCAAGTCCCCACAATCCTCATGATCCATCGCCTCAGCCGCCGCCGCGTCCTCAGCGGCTGTGGCGAAGAGGGGGTTCACCCACTCCTCCACCTCAGGAGCGGTGTGAAGATCATCGGCCACCTCAACCTCGCCACCATCCCGCATGTGGGCGAGGATGAGGTGATCCTCCTTTCCATCTATGGCATTGCTGATGCCGATGGTGAGAAAATAACGCTCGATGATGTACGTGGGCACTTGCGCCCAGGCAGTTGCGATCCACTTCAAAACCATCTCGGCTGGGGGCTTCCTCAAGTTTCTTGAGGTGTGCACGGTAAAATGCGTTAGGGAACAGGGGGAAAATCGTATGACAAGGATTACACGCTTCAACGTTATGCTGCCTAGGCTCACCTGCGGGCGTGAAGATGTTGACGACGACTTCAGCGAACCAATCGTTGTACAGTTGGCGAAGCACTGACTTGAATGAGCGGTTCACGTTCACAACCAGGGGCTGCAGCGCAAGGGTGCACCCCCCAAGGATGATGGCCGGGATGACCCGGTTCCACCTCAGGTTCGCGAGCACGCGATCCGTGAGGTGTCCCCGATACGAGTCCAAGACCAGGAGCGTCTTGGACCGACGGCAGCCAGCGGGAGGCTTGATGAAAGGGAGGAAGATCTGGTTGACCCACTCCTCGACGAGCTTGGAATCCATCCAACCTCGCTCTTGCGCTTCGATGACCACTCCTGCCAAAGGAACCATACGAGATTCACGAGATGAGGACTGCTACAAGTGTTCCCACGTATTCAACATGGCGCTTCGCTCACCTGGGGGAACACGGAGCTTAGGGATGGTTTTCCGCTTGAAGATGACCATAGCGGGGAGCTTGCGGCTCTCAGCAGTGATGCCGAGCATCACTGTCACCCTTTCGTTCTCGTAGCCCGCGCTACGAACATGCACCATCTTCTCCTCGCGGTGGTGAAGAGTCCGCTCACACGGCATCTCCAAGAAGACCGGCGTTTGGTCAGCATTGACAATGTTCCATGGGTCAATGCCCCATTTGATGATGTTCTTCCTTACGAAGGCCCAAAACTTCTCGCACTTCGGCTTGCAATCTGTAAAGAGCCAACGAAACACACTAGTTAGAGTTTAATCGCGTTCACCGGCTGACAACATCAAACGCACGAAACATGACAGAAATTGCGTGCGCGGTCGTTGTTTACTCTCACCTTTAGCAAGGCGTTGCCCCATCTTTGTCTTCACACGGATGGTCAGGCCGTATCGTGCGCGGAAACGGAAAGTCCAGCGCGGGGACGCCATCCACCTCACGTCCTGACGGTGATTCTTCATGTACGAGTGACTCCACTTCCGGATGAGTCGGATGGGGACGGCTAATCCTCGGCCGCGGAAACTGAGATGTTTCTTATACACAGCCGCCTCCATGTCCAGGTATTTTGCCTTCCTCCCCCCCCCCCCCCTGCTCGGATTTGCTGTCTTGATCCGCTCCGCCACCTTAATCCATCGGCGGACGCTGTATGGTTGCACCCCGGCCAAACGAGCGGTGTGTCGTACGGAGAGATTCTCCTGTTTCTCTCCCATCGTTCGCGCCTGCGACGGTGAGATGTCTTACGCGCACGAAGATTGGACGGCGCACCGTCAACATGGCTCGTGGGGCCCGTTTCTTCGTGGACGAGATCCGGGGGGAACGTAGGGACAGGGAAGTCCCCCACTTCTTGCTCCATCTCGTCGTCGCTTTCAGCGGCAGTGTCATCTTCGTCCTCGGGCTCGGAAAAACCTTCGTGAGAGGGTTCGAACAAAGGAGTTGTGCGGTAGTCGATGGACGCTTGGACGGACTGCCAAGGCTCGAACGGCGGCTACGCCAAAGGGATTCAAAGGCCGCCATGGTACTACGGTACGCTACGACACTACTCCAACATGTTTGAATTGTGTTTGCTAATGGGGTCTTGTAGTAGCTTTCAGAGGTGTCACGAACCTAAAGCACAAGAACTGAAGCCATGAAGAGAGAGTCCATCTGCTCGGCAGGCTGCTGGACGTGATTCCCGTAGCACATCACGTCCAGCTTCTGTCAAACCCTCGTGAAAGAAGGGAAGAGAGACGTGGCCAGGCTGGGTACAGTTCAGTCAAGAGGATCAGGCGGTTCGCCGAATTTGGGCGACAAACCACCGTCGTGCCTCGTCTCTCGACGCGTGTCACACCAGATTGTTGCGCTCGTGAGGCTAGAAACGAGGGATTTGAGTGTGTAAAATAAAAGACCCCCCCCCCCCCCCCCGTACAGGAACTGTGCATGGTAAATCCAATAAATTTAATATTCAAATAAACACACCCGGGTCTTAAAAAACTGTATGCCACCTACATGTCCACCCTAGCTATGTTTCTTGCATTTGTAGAAAGTCCCCCGGGTCCTATAGCCGGAATAATACGGTATGTTGTTGAAGAGCCCAATGTTAAAAGCATGTGAGGAGAAGTGGTTGTCGATTAGGTTGGGGGGGGGTACAAGATTGTCGAGAGAATGGTTTTACCCTCTAGGGATAACCCCTACGCAGCCTACAAAGCTATAAAACATATAAAATGTTTTGACACACCCCCATAGGTGAAGAAGGGGATAGCCAAACCTAACAGTGGTCACAGGACCAGTCAAGCAAGAGAACAAAGCAAAGCAAAGCTCAGGGTGGATCTCAAGGACATCACACAATCTGAGCACAAGCAAGCGGCCACAAGGCCAGTTCACATGCAGAGTTATAATAGCAAACGGTGGGGTGGGGAGAGGTAAACGGGCAGAAGGTGGGGTGGGGAGAGGTTGATGGGCAAACGGTGGGGTGGGGAGAGGGAGATGGGCAAACGGTGGGGTGGGGAGAGGTATATGGGCAAACGGTGGGGGGGGGGAGAGGGAGATGGGCAAACGGTGGGGTGGGGAGAGGTATATGGGCAAACGGTGGGGTGGGGAGAGGGAGATGGGCAAACGGTGGGGTGGGGAGAGGTATATGGGCAAACGGTGGGGTGGGGAGAGGGAGATGGGCAAACGGTGGGGTGGGGAGAGGTATATGGGCAGAAGGTGAGGTGGGGAGAGGTTGATGGGCAAACGGTGGGGTGGGGAGAGGGAGATGGGCAAACGGTGGGGTGGGGAGAGGTATATGGGCAGAAGGTGGGGTGGGGAGAGGGAGATGGGCAAACGGTGGGGTGGGGAGAGGTATATGGGCAAACGGTGGGGTGGGGAGAGGGAGATGCGCAAACGGTGGGGTGGGGAGAGGTATATGGGGAGAAGGTGGGGTGGGGAGAGGTGGATGGGCAAAGGGAGGGGTGGGGAGAGGTTGATGGGCAAACGGTGGGGTGGGGAGAGGGAGATGCGCAAACGGTGGCATGGGGAGAGAGGTATATGGGCAAACGGTGGGGTGGGGAGAGGGAGATGTGCAAAACGGTGGGTTGGGGAGAGGTATATGGGCAGAAGGTGGGGTGGGGAGAGGTTGATGGGCAAACAGTGGGGTGGGGAGAGGGAGATGGGCAAACGGTGGGGTGGGGAGAGGTATATGGGCAGAAGGTGGGGTGGGGAGAGGGAGATGGGCAAACGGTGGGGTGGGGAGAGGTATATGGGCAGAAGGTGGGGTGGGGAGAGGTGGATGGGCCAAGGGTGGGGTGGGGAGAGGTTGATGGGCAAACGGTGGGGTGGGGAGAGGGAGATGGGCAAACGGTGGGGTGGGGAGAGGTATATGGGCAGAAGGTGGGGTGGGGAGAGGTTGATGGGCAAACGGTGGGGTGGGGAGAGGGAGATGGGCAAATGGTGGGGTGGGAAGAGGGAGAGGAGCAAAGGTTGAGGTGTGTGAGAGTGAGTGACGGCGTCCGTACAGGTGTGTGAGAGAGAGAGTGGGTGTCTGCACATGCGTGTGAGAGTGAGTGCGAGCGTACGGGCGTGTGAGAGTGAGTGTGGGCATCCGTACGGGTTTGTGAGAGCAATGGGCGAGGAGAGCAAGGGAGAGATGTCGCCTTCCAGGTTGTTGTTATGTAGGACCCTCCCTGTGCGACCCTGGAGCAGAGGGGCAGAAGAGGGGTAGGGGGCAGTGGGCGAGTGAGCAACGGGGAGATGGGTGTATGGGCAAGGAAGATAGATAAGCAAGGAGAGGAGAGCACCGGGGAAATTGTAACCTTCCAGGTGGTTGATTAGGACCCTGATCATGTGACCGAGAAAGGATAGAGGGGGATAGGCTCGTGAGCCAACGAGGAACTGGGAGTATGGGCAGAGAAAGGCACGTAGTATGGGAGAGAAAGACAAACGCTATGGCACACACGCACACGTGCACATGCATGCATGCATGGAATGGTGCTACCACAACGCCCGCCTCCCCGTCTCCCTTCCCACGTGCACATTCCCCCTTCTCCGCCTCTCCCTTTCACCTTCCCGCGCCTCATTACCCCTTCCCGCATCAACGTATCCCATCCTCGCTCGACATTCCCCCTTCTCCGCCTCTCCCTTTCCCCTTCCCGCCCCTCAGCCCCACACCATGGCATCATTGCACGTTCCACAATCCATCGCACACCCCGGCGACGTCTCACTCCCAGGTGGGTTGCACACTCAGACACCCCTTCTCATTGTGTTTTGCGTGTGTCTAACCTCGGTACCTTGTTGTGTCCCATCATGCAGTGAGCGTCGTCTGTTGAAGCGTCGGCGTGGGCTTCTGGGTAAAGTGAATGAGCTGTTTGAAGTGGATGAGGCTGGTGTGGTGGTTGACGAAGGAGGTGCAACCAGCGCCACCACGACCAAGTGTCGTGTGAGCACGAGCCAGCCCCCTCCACCTAGCATTCGACTTTCACAATGCATTTATCGCATGCACCAACCAACCCGAAAGCCCCCTGTGAGGGTTCTCCCATTATACAGCTGGTCGTTGCCCCATTTTGTCGTTGCCTACCCTAAGCAGTATGAAGTGCTGTAACAGTGGGGTGCTAACTCATTGGGCCTGTCATTTGATAGCCAGGAGCAGCTGAGTACAGCAGGGCGGACGGTTGAGGCCGTGGTTCGTGTTTGTTGTGGTCCAAACACGAGTGAATCCTGTGATGGGATGGCAATGAAGCCAGAACACCATAGGTTCAGGTGTATATATGGCTGTCGGGTCATTGTATCCGGAGAAGGGAGATGAGGGGTACCTAAAGTGTTGCGCGCACGATATCGAGTACTTCCTCCATGGTTGGGAAATCCCGGATGAGATTGATTTTGAAGCATCCACTTGGGATGCCATGTCATCGTAGCCACATACAGAACACTTAGAACCATGGGCATGGTTTCATGATAAGGGTTTGGCAGGTAGAAGAGGTGTAGTTTAGTGCGACATACAGACATCATTCTTAGGGTTGCTCATGAGTGTCTTGACTTCGCATGCCATGGAAACCATCCTCATTCTAGCTCTAATAAATGTGCCTCCAATTGATAGTCTATTGGATATAACAAATGTGTGAGGTTGTAGGGTGGAGCATTACTAATGTATTCGTTGATGCAACAGAACCTAGGTTTCAATAGAATGCTGGTGTCCGTTGCTGGGTCCACAGTTGCATGCAAATGGAAGGGGGGAAAACGCAGCCAGCCCATGGATGAGGGCACGCTATGTCCACGTTGTTTAGCGCCCCCGGGACATAAGCGTGAGACAGGGAAAATAAGGGAATGGGATCCAGATTCACCATGGAGGAAGGTGTGAGAATGGAAGGCGGGGGAAGAGCATGGGCGGTAGGGTTGATGTGAACAGGTATGGCAGCAAACTTAAAGAAGAGGTGGGAACGGAAAAGATGGCAGTAACATATAGGACAGCAAAAATGAGTGGCAGATGGCGAGAAGGGGAGAGATGGGACAATACCCCCAAGGGTAATGGATGGAACAATACGGGAAGAAAAGAGCGTGGAAGGAACCATAGGGAAGAAAAGATGAGATAATAAAAAAGGAGAGAGGGAAACGACACGTAAGGGAAGGGCACTGGATGGTCCGCGTTACGAAGGATTAATGAGGGGAGAGATGCCCGGGGGATCGGGAAGGGAAGGAGATGAAGCAGCAGGGAAGGGGATGGGAGGGAAGGAGATGAAGCAGCAGGGAAGGGGATGGGAGGGAAGGAGATGAAGCAGCAGGGAAGGGGATGGGAGGGAAGGGAAGGGTGGGGAGAGAAGGATGAGGATTTGCGTGATGGGATGCGGGGAGCGAGGGGCAGTGGTGATAGCCGCAACAGGGAAAGTGGAAACAGAGGGTCGGGAGGGAACTCAGGAGGGCGATGGGGCACATGAATGGGGAAACTGAGAGCCCGGAGAGGGGAAACAGAGAGCAAGGAGGTGGGAAACAGAGGGTAAGGAGGGGGGAAACAGAGGGCAATGAGGGGGGAGACAGAGGCCAAGGAGAGGAGGGAAACTGGGGGGAAGCACTTGTAAAAAAGAGAGGAAGCATAGGGGGGAATGCGGGGAAGCAGAGGGATGGGAGATGAGTGGGAGCAGGTGGGGATATGAGAGGGATGGGGAAGGAAATGAGAGGGATGGGGAAGGAAATGAGAGGGATGGGGAAGGAAATGAGAGGGATGGGGAAGGATATGAGAGGGATGGGGAAGGAAATGAGAGGGATGGGGAAGGAAATGAGAGGGATGGGGAAGGAAATGAGAGGGATGGGGAAGGAAATGAGAGGGATGGGGAAGGAAATGAGAGGGATGGGGAAGGAAATGAGAGGGATGGGGAAGGAAATGAGAGGGATGGGGAAGGAAATGAGAGGGATGGGGAAGGAAATGAGAGGGTGCAGGGGTTAAAATGAGAGGGAGAAGATGGGGAAATGAGAGGGAGAAGGGGGGGAAATGAGAGGGAGAAGGGGGGGAAATGAGAGGGAGAAGGGGGGGAAATGAGAGGGAGCAGGGGGGGAAATGATATGGCGTTGGGCATAGGGAGGATATGGCATTGGGCATAGGGACAATGTGGCACTGGGGGAACAGAGGATATGGGTTTGGGGAAAGGTAGGATATCACACTAGGGGAAGAGAGGATACGGAAATGGGAGTAGGGAGGATATGGCAGTGGGGGAAGGGAGGATATGGCAGTGGGGGAAGGGAGGGTATGGCAGTGGGGGTAGGGAGGGTATGGCAGTGGGGGAAGGGAGGGTATGGCAGTGGGGGTAGGGAGGGTATGGCAGTGGGGGTAGGGAGGATATGGCAGTGGGGGAAGGGAGGATATGTCATTGGTAGAATATCGCGAGGAAAGGTAAGAGAAGGAAGGGAACAAAAAGGGAAACTGAAGGTTCGGGAAGGAAACAAGCGAGAAATATATGACAGGGGAGGTTTAGAGAGGGAAGCCAAGGGAAGGGTTTAGGGTGAAGAGGGAGGGCAGGGAAGGAACTGATGGCATATATGGTGTCAGTTACGCGAGCGGATAGGGTGGAATGGACGGAAAACAGAAGCGTTGCGACCAGAAAAGTGGAGACAAGGTAAACATATCTCCTCCATTCCCCCACTGACTACCTTCTCCCAAGGATGGAAGGAAGGTAGGACAGAGGGGGATGGACGGTGTTGGCGGAGAGGGCCGGAAGATGGTGTGCAGAGAGGAGGGGATATAGCGGTGATAGTTTGAAATGAAGGGAGGGGAAGCGATCGGAAACAGAAGCATACCATCTGCGTTGCGCTTCCACGTCTGGAACTCGTACTCGTAGCCATTTGAAGAAATAGGCGACAGTTCGAGCAAGTACCCCACCGATGCCATCCTCCCCTCTTGGCTCAACAAGAAACTTGTCCGTTGAGCATCCCCATGCAATTTTATATGGTCCTTCACCATCGTTTCATTCTTACCTACCATACGAAACCAATATCGCATGGAGAAATGGGTACGGGACCTTGGGTGAAGCGGGTACATATTATTTTGGGCAAGAGGTGGTGGTGGGGCAACCTGTGAACAAGAGGTGGTGTGGGTGGATGCTGGTTGCGTGTGTTGCATGCTGTAGTAGAGCACAAATAACAACTTAGGTGTTGCATTGTGTTAAAAGGTTTGGGCAGTGGGGGGTGGGGGGGGGGGGGGAGGGGGGATTTGTGGGGAAGAGGAAAGATTGTAGGGGGAGGGCAGGGGTTGGGCTGGTGTCATCCAAAACGAAAGGGAGGGCATGTTTAGGTTGCCTTTTGAGACGTCTCAAAAGGCATGTTTAGGTTGCTACCGTGGGCGGACGGACACTCACAGGAATTCGTGGCTGCATCGATGAGTTTGTTGACAACATCGGATGATGTAGTTACCAGAACGTGCATCAGATCGTTGAACGTCGCCTCCCTCCCCAAAACCGCAGAAAGGCCACACCGCATGATGGCAACGGGCAGGGTCATGTGTTTGTTGACTGACAACATGTTTTGTGGGTGCTTATCCGTAATGTTCTTCATGTGTTTCTTCAAATCTTCGCTCACAGCGTTGCTGCTGCTAGCCATGCTTGAGGTTGTGCAACCAAGCTCCTGGGAGGGCCACGATGTAAGGGATAAAGCAGATTAGGAGTTAGACGGCAGGAGAAAACAGGGGGGAGGAGAGGTAATTGGCTGGGGTAGTAATGGGTGGTTCCGCTAGGGGGGAAGAGGGGTACTGGTGGATGAGTAGGAGAACATCTTGATTGGGCCTGGGGAAAAGCATTCCTCACGAGGGCTTGAGGGTTGAAGGGGCGGGATATTCCTTCCCCCCCATCTACCCTCATATCATCCCCCCAGCTACCATCATATAAACTATGTGGCGCCTGAGGGGGAAGTGCAGGGGGAGAGGGGGTGGGGTGATAGGGAGAGAAGGGGGGTAGCGGGTAGGCAGTCAGGCGCGTGCCAGCCACCCCGCCCGCTCTGTGCGCCCCTAGCAACACCTGGGAGGCGCCTGAGGGGAAAGTGTGGGGGGAGAGAGGGTGGGGTGATAGGGAGAGAAGGGGGGTAGCGGGTAGGCAATCAGGCGCGTTCCAGCCACCTCGCCTGCTCTGTGCGCCCCCAACGACACCTGGGAGGCGCCTGAGGGGGAAGTGCGGGGGGAGAGGGGGTGGGGTGATAGGGAGAGAAGGGGGGTAGCGGGTAGGCAGTCAGGCGCGTGCCAGCCATCCCGCCTGCTCTGTGCGCCACCAGCGACACATGGGAGACACTGATATCACACGCCACGCAGACACTCATACTCCCCTTCCCCACTCACCCCTCTCTACCGTCGCAGCATTCTCCCCAACCTCCTCGTGTTCACCATTACTGCATTCCGCGAGCCACCCACCCGTCCCGCACTCCGCCTTCCCCCCCATTACCATAGGCGTTCTATCCATAAGTGTACCCCGTTTTTCCCTCCCTCCCCCATCCTGGCGCGTAAGTTTCGCGAAACCCGGGCCATTCGCACAAACGCACGACACTGGATCGCCACTTTCTCCGCACAGCCGTCAAATGACGGGCCCGTCCGCGACGTTCGCGGTTGGTCGTCGCGTTCGCTTATGCAAACAACCAACTATTCCGGACCGTGACTGTCGCGGCGAGTCTGATGTAGTGTGTTTTTCTCGCTATCTTCGTTTCTCGTTCAGATAATTAGGCGCTCGTTCTCACCTCACAACAGACGTAGCGCGTGTTTTCACTTGTTGGCGACGGAAAATGCAGTGCGTCAGCGAGTCGATGGTTTGTCGTATGCCGTTATCGTAGTAAGCAATCCAGTTTCGGTTGTAGTCCTATTACACGAGTCGCGTATTACCTACATGCTGGTTTGACAACTGAGCAATTGCCTTACGACGGATAGCAAGGTGGCGGCCTTCCTGGGTCATTTTATTGCCCCGTGTGGGGTGTGGTTGCTGCAACAATCTAGCGTAACATGCTTGGAATGCAACGTGAGTGGAGAGCTGGAAAGTTGTGTGAAATGACGTCTCTAGTTTCCTCGAGCTGGTGTAATACGTTTGGTCTCCCTGTAGCTGGAAAATCGCAGAGGGTGGTTGTGTCGCAAGATGGAAACCTGGCCCAGTCGTGGTGCTTTCATCATGTGCATTTCCACACATAGGGGTGCACGTTCGATTGCTGGGCCCTGGCATGTACGACAAGAACTTCCTCTCGACCTTCACATTCCCAACCAGCCCCCAAACCTGTGCCAGCTATCAAGGGTCGTTTGGCGATGTAAGGATTTACAAATCCTTACTGAGGCACTCGTTAGCGAGGTCATCCCGAGGGTCACGCGACGAACCTGTTCGCCCTAATTCGTCACACCGAACCACCCCCGAGTCGGCCTCCGCTCCAATCGCAACCATCACCGAGCCATCTTCGCCCTACCTGTTCGCCTAGCTAGGACTTCCCCTATTTAGGCCTCGTCACTTTGTGTGTTCATTGTCGATAATCAATTCAGTACTCAATCTCGTTATTCGTTATTCTGCGCACTCTGCAAGTTCATTCATAACAGGCGACCTAAACCTGGTTACCCGTTTTCAACCGTATTACACTTGGTTGGGAAGGCAGAAATATGAGACGCGGGCTTTATGGCCTGTAACCATTTTACCTTACTTTTTTGGGGTGCTGTAAGGATTTTTTCTCGATTCTTTACTCTGCACCTCATCAACACATACAACAGTAACGTTTCGAGTTTCATCTTCTTAACGATCGTTTCATTGTGTGACCAAACGTGATAGCGCTGTGATCACCCGAGATAGATACGAACTAAACGGTGACTGTCCGTGATACCCATGTGACCAAACATGATAAAACGTATAATTTCCCATGAGCTAAGTTGTAGACACGATTGCATACAACTGCATAGGCGCACAAACGCATGCTGTGAGGAAAATAACTTTTCCTTACTTCGCGTCCCTGCTCAGCGCGTACACCACTGTTCCCGCCAACAGCACCCCACAACATCCCGTTACCACTCGCGACATTCGCCTCGACCCCATTCCCGCCACTGTTCACGATGCGACCCAACCTCACGGTTCGGTTGGTAACCCGTGCTCCGGACCTCCGCCTCGACAGTCCCCCAACCTCGGCACCAGGCCCGTCGCGCACCCCATTTCCCACACGTTACCGTTGCCACTGTAGCTTCGCTATATATTCTTCGCTCAATTCTTCGCTCATTGTATTCTTTCCTCGATAGTGCAATCCTCGCTCGCTCACTCAATTGCACTCGTAACACTTGGTTATCAGAGCCTACGATCTTCTCTCGGACCGCACCCACACCTTCGCTTCCCCACTATCTCATTTTTTTTTTGGGGGGGGGGGGGGGGGGGGGGGGTAGATGTCCCTCAGCGATCAAGCACCGCCGCTCGTAGTGCTCTCTCGTAAGCACGCACGGCCACGACAGAGGCTCTCGCTGAGCTTGCCCGACACCCCCGCCATGGCTGAAATCACCCTCGCGACACTGACACAAGAACAGCTCGACCGTCTCGTACGACAACTCAAGGATTCGGCCCTCGAAATCGCCACACTCACGGCGGAACGCGACTCCGCTCGCCAGCAATCGACAGTGAATGCTGTCAGAATTATGCTGTTATAACTGCATGTAGGTCTAGCGTTAGTGTAGTTATCTTGATATCCTGCTTGGTGGTGTACCCCCCCTTGTCCTGCCCTATATGTTGTGACCCTCTCCATAGTGAAACATTCCTTTTCTCAATTCTCGTCTCCCCCTCCTTGGCACAAACCACCTCGACTCCCCTTGGCCTAGGCTACTAAGCCTAGGCCCTACTATTTCTGTTTAACATGGTATTCAGAGCAGGAACCTTCCTGCTGCCTTCCTTAACGGGCCCACCATTTTGCTTCCGCTACATGTCGTCCTGCCGCGCGCCTAGGGCGCGCGGCGATTTTCTGCCCGCCGTGTGCTCGGGGCGCACGGCGGTTTTCTGCCCGCCGTGCGCCCCGGGCGCGCGGCGTCTGCCTGCCTGCCTGCCTGCCTGCCTGCCCGTCGTGCGCCCCGTGGCGCGCGACGGTGCCCTGAGCCGCCGCGGACCCGCCCCTGGCGCCCGCGACGGTGCCTTGAGCCGCCGCGGACCCGCCCCTGGCGCCCGCGACGGTGCCCTGAGCCGCCGCGGACCCGCCCCTGGCGCCCGTGGCGGTGGCCTGAGCCGCCGCGGACCCGCCCCTGGCGCCCGCGACGGTGCCCTGGGCCGCTGCGGACCCGCCCCTGGCGCCCGCGACGGCGCCTCTTCCTCACCTCGCGCCTGCCTTCGAGCAGCCGCCCCTGCCTCACCCGCGCCTGCCCTCGGAGCAGCCGCCACTGCCTCACATGCGCCTGCACTCGGTGCAGCCACCCGTGCCTCACATGCGCCTGCACTCGGTGCAGCCGCCCCTACCCTACCCGCGCCTGCCCTCGGTGTAGCCGCCCCTGTCCTTCACGCGCCTGCCCTCGGTGCAGCCGCCCCTGCCCTTCCTTGTGCGCCACCCCTCTGTGGCCGTGGGGCGGCTTCTTCCCCGCCACCCCCCCCCCCCCCCCCTCCTCCTTCTTCTTCCTGCTGCGCGTGCAGCCGTGGGGGGGAGGGTATGGAGGTGGCGGGTATGGGGGTGATGGGTGTCTGTGATCCCCTTCCCCCCCTCCTCCTTTCTCTCCCACTGCTGCAGCTGCCGCTTGGGGGGGGAGGGTGTGAAGGTGTGGGGAGCCGGGGGAGTGGCACTAGGGACGTTGAGGAGTGTGCAGAGGGGGTTTGGGAGCATGGGGGAGGTTCCAGGAGGCAGCCGCCGTGAAGCCAGCAGCCTCACCTGCCGCCTCCCAACTCCTCCTCCTCACTGCCCCTCTAGTGCTGCCACTTGTCTTTATTTTGTGAACTTGCATCTGTTAACTTGCCTGCTGTTGCTGTTTTCTCTATCTATGGTGTACCCCTGCAGGTTGTGTTCTGCACTTAGCTATTCCTGCATGCAGTTACGGGGGGATGTCAGAATTATGCTGTTATAACTGCATGTAGGTCTAGCGTTAGTGTAGTTATCTTGATATCCTGCTTGGTGGTGTACCCCCCCTTGTCCTGCCCTATATGTTGTGACCCTCTCCATAGTGAAACATTCCTTTTCTCGATTCTCGTCTCCCCCTCCTTGGCACAAACCACCTCGACTCCCCTTGGCCTAGGCTACTAAGCCTAGGCCCTACCATTTCTGTTTAACAAATGCACCAGCAAACGCACCTGCACAATCTGAAGAACCGATCATCATCTCGTCAGGCACACCGACACAGAACGACAGTGTGGGACAGCGCTCAGGCATAGCCAGTGAGGGCGCCGCTCACTCAATGCCTGGCATGGAGAGAAACAGGGCCGCACCAAGCCCACGAGAGCCCCGCGAAGCCCGTCGACACGTGGAATTTGCAGCGACAAGTGGCGAATACGCCGTCACGGCACCAATGCCACTCAAGCTACAACGCCCGCCCTGTTTCGACCCGAGCCAACGTGGAGGTCCGACGGTTCAATCGTGGGTCTTCACGATGAACGTCTTTTTCGACGCGAATTACGTCGAGTCGGACGCGGCGAAGATTCGCTACGCTGTTTCGCTACTGAGGGGCCCCGCCATGGACTGGTGGCGAGTCATCGTGACGTCGCCACGTGCCTACGAGCCACCGTCGCAAGAAGACGGGCCCACGGGTCCAGCCGTCACCTGGAGTTCATTCTGCGAGACAGCCCAGTACAACACGTGGGATGCGTGGTGCGCAGGGCTTCGGGCGCGCTTCGAGCCGATTGCGGCTTCGATTTCGGCGCGTCAGAAGCTGCGCACTTGGCGGCAGCTCGGGTCGGTTCAAGACTACACAAGCGGTTTTCTTGCACTATGCGAACAAGTCGGCTATATGCACGAAGCGGAGCGGGTAGACTGTTACGTCGGAGGGCTAAAGCCAGACATCTCGCACGAAATCATGTTACGCGGGCTCTCGAATTTCAACGAGATCCTCGCGCTCGCCGAGAAAATCGACATCCTACGGCGACCGAGACCGGGGTCCTACTACGGACAACGTCCTCGCGGGCCGATCGAGCACGCCACCGTACACGCCGTTGCGACAAATGCAGCTGCCGCACCGTTTAAGGGGCGCTGCTTTGCTTGCAATAGGCCGGGCCATTGTAAGAGTGAGTGCCCAGAGGAGCTGAGACGCCGCGGAACAGAGCAGGGGCGAGAGTCTCAGAGGCCGGGAAACGCCAGCAGTCACTAGAAGTTGGGCCAACTACTGACGAGACTGCCTGCTCGCCCAACTTCACCGACCCTCACCAAGTCACAGTTTCGATTCACGCTATCGATCGGTCTCGGACGAATAAGGAGGGTACAACGACGGATTACCCTATACTGATTTACGGGAAAATACAGGGAGCGGTAGTGAAGTTTTTTATAGACGGAGGCGCAAGTCACAGCTTAGTTAATACCGCGACTACAAGGAAGCTGCAACTGACACTTAGTCGGTGCTTACCA